GTTGTAGGTTGTCGTCTCAAAGTCCGAGGATATCAGGCGTGTGCGCGCTTCTTTCCCGGGGAGGGGAGACGACACACTATCCAACGACTTTATTCCGGCCGGGGGTTGACAAGGACATCATGTCCAAGAAAGCAGAAGAAGAAAAGAAATAAGAACAAAAACATAATCACCACAACACGAAAGATAACGCTGCCTGAAAAGATTGAGAAATTTTGTTGTTTTTTTTGCATTTTTTGTTTGTACCAAAACAAAAACCTGAACCCCTTTCTCCCGCCCTTCCGTTTTTGTTCTTCTCTCGAGTAAACCGTGCCGCCTTTTGTCGTCCCAGTGACGCTCGTCGTACGTCGTGATTGTCGTCGTAATGATCGTCGAGCCAAAGAGAGACTGCGCTCGGTTGTCGCCGAGGGAAAACGAGAGGAGAGGGAAGGGTTGGTTTCCCGTCCCGGCGCCGCGGGATAAAAGTCGGTCGATAAAATAAAGAGAGACAATCGCGAGCTCGTCCGAGTGCATCGATCGGTCCGGCGATTGCGTTTGGTCATGTAGGTCGGTTTTTTTATTTTGCTTTTTGTCCTCCGCCGTCCCTTGGAGCCGTCCATCACGTTCTCCCAACCGGTAACTGAGCTTTACCGGACGGGGTTCCAGACGTTCTTCAGGAAGCCGTCGCGCTGGGCAAGGCGGTTGAAGGAGTCATCGGCCTCGCCCTGGGCGCGGATGAAGCCGCACAGAGCGTAGACCTGGTTCTCGCCGGCAATGGCGCGGCCGTTCTCGTCAACCTGTGGAAAAAGAAACAGGGTCAGCATTTTGTCTATCCTCGTGGAAAGAAAGTCCCGTTTCCCATCCTGTCTCGTCCCCGTCCTCGTCCTCCGTCCCGCCATCCCTTCTCTTGCCAACTGCCGTGTCAAACGGCCATCCGTTCCTTTCTAGCACCACCTCATCTTCCACCCATCCCGTCTCTTGCCCTCAGGACCTCCCAACCTCGCCGTCTCGAATGTGTCGTACCTTGGCAATCGAAATCTGCACCGAGCTGTGGTCCTTGGCCTTGATGATGCGGCCCGTCGCAGAGCACTTGCGCGGGACGTACAGGTCGACGATCTCACCCTTGTCGTTCTCCATGGCTGCTGATTTGTAAGAAGGAGGTGGTGGTGGAATTCGTGGGTTGAAGCGTTGGTGATGGTGACAAGAGAAAATTGTATGCAAGTGGGCGCAAATTGTGGTAGACGCTGCAAAAGAGGGTGCAATTTTCGCTAGGCCACTTTTTTGCACCCACTGCCCCGAACCACCACTGCAAGCATTGTTTGCCCACACAACAAAGCCCAGTGGGGTAGGATAATTTTTGGTCCGAGCTAAGAGTGGTGTGGAACCGAGAAACGCACAAAATTCTTTTCCCAAAATTTGCGGATTACATAATACTGGGCCCACAATTATAGGCTATTTGGGTCACCTGATGACCCATGTGACAACGCGACGCCAACGCGTGGCAAACGTTAAGTGGGACCCACTATTTTGCCAAGAGGGGCAGCGCCTGGACGAGACCACCGTGCGTGTCGACCGCAATTGCTTCACAATTTGGCGTGCCAACCAAATCTTCACGCGCTGCCCCTTGATCTATTTACATTGGGCCCAACATCGTCGCCCACGATCGCGTCTTCTATGCGATAACATACCCACATTGTCGCTGAAGCGCACTCCCTGCAACACTGTCTCGTCTACGGCAACTAGGATGCGCGCTGCGCATGTCCTCACGAGCGACAATGGCTCGTAGCGAAACTCGCGTCCAGACCGGCACCGGACCGCCCGACCTTCGTGATGTCATTCTGCTGTCCTCGTCGCCCGCCCTGCCACCCGCGCGGCCCATGTCGTCTCTCCAAACAGCCGATACGTCCAGACCAGCATGGCAAGACCGGAGCTTTGACCTGTCGTTGCTGAGCAGCGACCCTCCAGAAGCTGCAACACGAAGCGGGTCTACTCCGACAGGCGCCGCACAGTCGAAATACTTTGCCGACCACCAAGACGTTCTGTCGTCTCTGCCTGCTGCTCGACTGGCGGCTGTCGACCTGTTGCCAATTCTCCGGGAAGAGCCAGCAAAGTACCTCAGCGGCGACCTGGAGTCCGCCCTACAACGCCGCCGTGATTGGACACCGCCGCCCGCCGACACTGTGGCTGCCGCCGGCGAGATCTCCCGGTCACAACACCATGCAGAGGACTGGTCGTCGTCGCCAGGCGAACTGGTGAACCGGCCAAACAGCGTCTTCAAGAGTCTTCAGACCAGCTTCGGCTGCAAGGAAGACGAGAGCCAACGGAGCAACCATGTGGCCACAGTCACAAGAGAAAGCTCGTTTACAAAACGGAAAGCCATTGAGGCGATCTCCGTGGGTGTTGCCGGGCGGCCGGCAAGCAGGGAGACCTCGCCGACAAAGTCCAAGGCTCCTAAGAAGAAGGTGCGGACCCTGACAGAGCTGGCCGTTGCCGCCTACGCCGACTCGACGGTAACAAGTGGTGACGCCCTGACAGCCACATCAACGAAATCGACGACAAAGAAGACGACAAAACCACAGGTCGAGGGCGTCGACGAGAATGTGCCAGAGGCCCGCTCGGAGGTCCGCCCCGGACTTCCCATGTCCAAGCTGCGCAAACTCAAGACTGCGCGCGCAGCCGCTGCGGCCAAGAAGCCGAGAGGGAAAAAGGCACCGGCGCCGCGCAAACCCGCGCTGTTGTCGCCCGCGTCCGCGCGCGCTGCAGCCACTCGACAGGACTTTCTGTTCGGCACATCGAGCCAGCTTGCGACGGAGGCGTCGCCCACATTTCTGCGGCACCTGCACACGGCGATGCATGCGTCCAACCAGGACGCGGACGACGGCGACGACAACAACAGCCGGGAGCGGAACCGCATACTCGACATCATTGACGAATTTGACTCGGAGACCAGCCCCGACGTGAGCACGGTCGACCTGACCGGGCAGCGGACGCCAGGTCCTCTCGAAGCGGCCAAGAAGACGAAGACGTTGTGGGGTGCGGCTGCCCGGGGCGAGGACGGTTTCCTGATTGACAATGTGATTGACCTGGACGACGCCATGGAGTTCCCCGAGGACCCCCACCAAGTCATTGCCATGGCGCAGCGCGCAGCCGAAGAGGCCATCCAGAAGGAGGCTCAAGAGGAAGAGCCTCCTGCGCCGGCACCGGCGTCGACCGCAGCAGCATCGACTCAAGCGACGCAGTCCTCCCGTGGAAAGGGCAGACTGCCAGCCAAGGCAAAGGCCGCAGAGGCGGCAAGCACAGCTCAGACGGTGGTGTCTCCTCCTCAGAAAGGGACGAAGATGACATCAACAAAAACAGCAGCAGCGTCGAAGCCCAAAGCGACAAAGGGGACAAAGGCGACAAAGGCAGCACAGGCGGCACAGGCGGCACAGGCGGCACAGGCGGTAAAAGCACACGACGCTGTCCGCCCCAACTTTGCTGTGCTCACGACTGCTCAGCTGACCAAGAAGGTGTCCGACTATGGTTACAAGGCCATCAAAGCACGGTCGGCCATGATCACCTTGTTGAACGCGTGCTGGGATGCCCAGCACCCAAACATGGCTACGGATGGGCAACCGACGCCAGTCGCTCTAGCTTCGACGGACCAAGTGGCGGCTCAATTAGCACTGCCCAAAGATGCCACAACACCTACCGGCAGCGAGTCACTACTACTAACTCAGCCGAAAGTGACAGCACCACGCGTCACGAAACCAGAAGCATCCCAGGTCGCGCAAACTACACAGTCGACAAACCGCGGACTGACGACATCACCACGAGCGGCCTATTTTCTGCCCAAGGGTACTAGATCGCCCACACCTGCACGAACGGCCGCAATCCATACCACGGCCAAAGCGACTGCCAAGGCAACAGCAAAAGCAAGAGCAAGGGCGACCACGACAGCATCAGCATTGCAATCAGAAGCAGCAAAAAGACGCAAGGCGACAAAAGAGCGTGTTGTTTTCGAGATTGACGACTCGGAATCCGACGGCCGCTTCTCGTCGCCCGAGCCTGCAGGTGTGAGACGTCCACTCACCGAAGCCGTTGCTGTTGATGTTGGCGAGGACGTCGAGAACGGCGAGAACGACGACGACGACATTGTGGCGACCGACCTTGACGAGGACGACGAAAGCAACACCATGGACAACGATGAGGCCGACCTGTCGCTGGCCGACGCACCGCTCACCTACGAGCAGTCGGAGCTGTTCCGCTACATTGCCACGGCCGTTACCAGCGCGCCGCCCACCAGCGACCCGGCGGCGCCGTCCTGGCACGAGAAGATTCTCATGTACGACACCATCATCCTGGAGACGTTTACGGCCTGGCTCAACGACGGGGCATTGCGCGCTGCTGGCTATGCGGGTGTCGATGTGACGCCACTCGACGTCAAGAAGTGGTGCGAATCCAAGAGCGTGTGCTGCACCTGGCGCAAGAACTTGCAGGGAAAGGAAAGGAAGTGGTGAGGACAGCACAGGCTGCTGCAGCGTTTATATATTTGAACAGGCGCTTATGACACTTATGATTTGGAGACAGGATACATTTTGTATTTGCAGGGCTTTTTTTGTTTTGTTTGCCATTTTCAGCGACCAATGAACGGCATCCTTGGACGCCCCATTGATGCTCACTGCATCTCTCGGCATGACACGTATAAATACTTTCTTGGGACGAACGACGGCCTGTGCTGAAAGTTACAAGTGCGGAGAATGCTCCGTATTCCAAGATTCGGGGCCGCTCCCGCGTCTTTCCCCACCCAAAACCAGGCCCATAGCACTGCTTCAAAAGGGCGCCAAGCTTGCCAACCTCGGCATCACCGCTAAGCCGCTAAGCCGCTAAGCGTTATCCGCCCACCGCTACAATGACAACAAACGGCTGCTTTGCCCACACACTGAATCAAACACAGCACAGCTGGTTCGAGGTCTTGTCTAGCCCGTCTCTCCTCGCTCTGTGGCCCTGTCACCGGACAGTGGCCGTCCTGCATCTGCCACGACATGCCGCCCGGTCCACGTCCAATGCGGGCACCCTCTCGGCTTCCACTTCCCACTCCCTTTGCTAGTAGCCACCACCATCAGCGACGACTCCTCTTTCACGTGCTGCAGCGGACATCGAATGCACTCCGGCCGTCTCAGGAGCTGCACCGACTCTTGCACCAACCATTGCGGCCTCCCTTTTGCCAGCACAGATCCTACACTCTTTCGACTCTGGCAGCCTCGGGTCAGACATTTCGTCGTGTCGTCCATGGTGTCGTCGCCTCATCTCCCAACACCCTCACATCCCTCCCTTGCTCTTTGATGCCTACCTCGACCTCAGCTTCAGCCTCGCCGTTGGTCCGGCGCGCCTTGCATGCAACAGCCTCACGCCGCGACAACTCCAACGCCGATGCTATGGCCGCGGACCACAAGAACAACAAGAAGGCCGGTGGCCCGCCCAAACCGCCCAGCATCCCGGCCCCCAGTGCCAGCGTCGTCGTCATCTCCCCCCAGAACGAGATTCTGCTGTTGCACCGCCGACAGTCGGGCACATTTTCGTCGGCCCACGTCTTCCCGGGTGGCAACCTCAGCCCCTTCCACGAGGGCAGCACGACCCCGGCCGTTGACAGGCCTGAGCGCCACGTGGATGGGCCGGCGTACCGCATGGCCGCCGTCCGCGAGACCTTTGAAGAGAGCGGCGTGCTGCTGGCGCGGGCGGCCGGCCAGGCGGCAGCGGCGCCCACCGAGAACCGCGCACTCCTTCAAGTCGAAGAGGCGGCAAGCAAGACGGCGCGCGTCGGCGTGGCCAACGACAAGGTCCGCTTCGAGGACTGGCTAGCAAGTGTTGGCGGGATTGCTGACTGTGGTGAGTTTTCTCGTCGTCCGGCTGTCCAGTCCGGCGTCGTGTCCCTCGTCACACATTTTGACGTGCACACGCACCGCTGACCGTCAGAAAACTTGATACCCTTCACGCGTTGGTTGACGCCGCCCAACCTCAAACGCCGGTACACGACGCAAATGTACCTGTATTTCCTGCCCCTCGTCGACCATACAAAGACGACGTCTGCGGCCGGTGCCGCCGCCGGTATGGACAGCAACAGCAACAACAGCAACAAAAACGGCGGCGCGTCTGCCGACCAGACCGAGGTCACCGAGGCCACGTGGGCCAGCGCCGCGACCTGGATCGGCCGGGCCCGCAACAACGACATCATCCTCTTCCCGCCCCAGCTCTACATCCTGTCGCTGCTGGCACCCCTCCTCCAGGGCCCCGCCGCCTTGTCGGCCGGCAATGCCGACGTGTCGCCCGCCGAACATTACGCCGCCGAGCGGCGCAAGGTCGCCGCGTTCCTCCACGACGGCCCCGCGCCCGGCGAGGACAAGGCCACATTTGTGCCCTGGGCCGACCGCGTCATCAGCCCCCGCGTCGCTGGCAAACTGGCCGACGACGCCAGGGGGCGCTCGGTCATGACCCTCGACTACCCGGGTCCGGAACTGAAGAACAGCGGCCGCGGCGGCGATTCGTACCGGGTGGTTGTCGTCGGGAACTTGCCGCCCGGTCCTCCGCGCGATCTGGAACTTGCGTTGCGGGCCGACGTTATGCCGCAGGTGGTGGCCAAGCCCAAGATCCAAGCGACGGGCAGGCTGTAGTCTGTAGTCCCAGGTTCGAGGCATATAAATAGTCACAAACGCAGAACGGGCCTCATTGTATATAGTCCGTGATTCCGTGATTCCGTAATTCGTCGTATCTAGTATCACGAATCTGATGAGTACAACGCGACCCCTGCATTACCATCGCCGAACGTTGTGCACTCTTTGGAAGTAGACGGCCAGCGGCAATGCTTCTTCGTCCTGACAGCCAATTCAAATTTCTTGCTTTTCTACAGAAACATGACATTTAAGCATATCGGTCGCGGAGGATTCCGGCTGCGGAATGCTTGCCGGCGTTGCGTTGAAAATGACTGAATGCTACTCCGTAATATTGTACGACCGAATTCTCAGCCAAAAGAACAACTGTACGATGCTTACTGTGGGCGCCATGTGTGTGGATCGGCTTGGCAACTTAAAAGTGTATCCTGCTGCTCGGTGTCGGCGCCAATCTCCCAATGCGGCCGAGCGCGCCTGCAGTCTGTAAGTCTCGCTGTGTGGGGCGTATGTCCGCTCCTTCCTTTGCCGTGATCCCGTTTCCCTCATCCTACGAACAGAAATAGGACAAAACAGGAAGCGTTCCGTGGAAAAGCCGTTTTGCACTGCTCCTTACCTCCCCTCCCCCCACCAATCCTTCCTTCCTGCCTCCATGAGTCGCACCTGCCATTCCGCATCTCTGAGAACCTCGGGTTTTGCATGGGCAAGTGCAGTTGTGTGCGAATAGGCAAGGACTACACGAATCATGCTTGCCGTCGTCGGCCTCGACCCCACGGGTTGGACCTTCTTGTCCAGGCCAGATCTATTCTCGGGGCTTCTTTTGTTCTCTCACCTTTCACTTTTCACGGCATTCTATTTTCTAGACGTTCTAGCGGGGACCCCGTCTGCGGCTTGGGCATGTTTCGCCTATCGAGTAATTTACACGTCCAGCTGCACGTAAGACAAGACACTGAATCGGGCTTAACTTGGGCCGCTTGACAGGGCCACTGCAGCCGGCGCGGCTGGCGCCTTATGGGCCTTGTGACTCTGTTTTTGCGACTTTTTCCTGCTTCTGACGAAAATGACATAAGCGCCTTAATAGCTTCGGCTTAGCTACTTCTGGCGCCCGCCAAATGCCGCACAAATGCCCTGTATCTCAAGACTGACCCGCAGCCTGTCGTCTCAACATTCAGTTAAGCCGCTGTCGCTCCTCCCCGATCCGGCATGGATTTTGTGCTTGCTATGTCCTCGCCCGCCGTGCACAGCTCCTTCCTCCTGTCTTCCCCCCGTACCTTCCGTCAATCACATCGGAATGCTACACTACCGATACTTTTTGTGCACGCACCCACCCATTCCTTCCTCTTCAGATTGGGGACAGGCATTGGCAACTTCCTTTAACACCACGTTCGCCATTACCTCTTTCCCATTTTACTAGTCTGCCATAAGTCAGCAGGGCCACCCCGCCATCGACCTCCCTGCTCTGTATTTGACGATTCTCCCTTTGTCCCATGTGCAGCTTCCCATCTCTCCCAGGCCCTTGCAAATTCCAGCCTCTTTTTCCTCTTTTCCTATTTTCCTCTATTTCCTCGTTTTCCTTGCACGTGTGCAAATCCAACTGCCGACAAGTACGACCATCAATTGGTGATGAGGCTTTTGTCTGGCTGCTTCTGCTCCTTGTCGTCCAGCTGCCAACCTCGCAAGTAATTACACGCTGCGTCTCGCACGGCGGCCGGCAGTCTTCTGATTCTGAGCCGCCCATTGGCTGTCGCCGTCAATTTTGCCCGCTTCTTTTTGCCCATTGTCTTTGCGGCCTCGTCCACACTTGGCTTATTACGGCTATCTGCCCCGTTTTCTTTTCCTTTTCTGTCTGTTTTCTTTTTTTGGCTGTCTCGTCGACACCTTGCCGTCCTCTTGTCCCTCCAATTCTCTGGCTGCATCTGGTCGGCGTCTTGATCTCGTCCCTTGTCTCATCCTCTCCTCGTCCCCTTTTATACTCTTCTACTCTTCTCTTCGACGATCGTCGCCTCGTCCTTTATCCGACATCGCTGTTTGCGCGACCTCTCTCCCACACACTCTCTCTTTTTTTCTCCATCCTCTCGTCGCCCACGTCTACATCGCCCCCGCACCCACCACCCTTCTCCAACCGAACCATGGACGACAATTCGTTCAACCTCCCCCTCCAGCAAACGCCCGACGTCGAATCGCCCTCACCCACCATCACGCCCCTTCATGAAGCATATCCGCCACTCGCCCCGTCGGGCAACCACAACAACCACAACCAAGGCCACGGCCACGGCCACGGTCACGGCCACCATGTCGCCGGCCAGGCCCATGCACAAGCTGCCGCCCAGCCCATGCCGCCCATGGCGGGCGCCACCGTCTACACGCCCAACACCGCGCCGAGCTCCGAACTGAATCCCCGCAGCTGCGTCACATGTCGCCGCCGCAAGGTGCGCTGCGATAAGCTCATGCCCTGCACCAATTGCCGGCGAGCCATGGTGCCCTGTGTCTTCCCCGCACCCGAGCGCGCCCCGCGTCGGCCCCGGCGCAAAGACCCCGTGTCGCTCAAGCCGCACCAGTCCAGCGAGCGCGAGATTGAGCTGCTCAAGCGTCTGCGCAAACTCGAGGGCATCGTCGAGGAGCTGAGCGGCCAGGTCGAGATGGAGGCCACGAGCGGCAAGCTGCCCGCGAGCAACAGCAATTCACCCGAGGCCGCCGCTGCCGGCAGCGACGGCGCTGCGCCGCGCTCCAGCCTCGACCACGGCACGACCCCGAGTGCCTCCAGCTCGTGGGGCCAGTCGCCCAAGCTGCCCAACGCCCAGGGACCAACATCGGGCAACAGCCCCGGCCGTCTGATCGGGCGCAACTCGAGCTACGGCGCGCTCGTAAAGCAGACCAAGGACACACAAAAGCAGCTCGGCCGGCTCATGATCAATGACTACGGCCGGTCACGCTACGTGAGCAGCGCCTTCTGGAGCAAGATCAACGATGAGGTATGTATATTTTTTGTTTGTTTTTGTTTGTGCCTGTGCGCCTGACTATTTCTCTGCTGTTGCTAACCACGCTTTGCCTGTACCGTACAGCTCGACGAAATCCGCGCAGAGACACAGCGCATCTCCGACTCCGAGAGCGACCTGTCCGACAACGAGAGCACCCCCGGCCACGACGAAGACCGGCCCCAGGCCGACCACCATGCCTTCATCTTTGGCTTCCAGTCCACCACCGTCGACCTGCGCCCGCTTCACCCGCTGCCGTCGCAAATACCCTATATTTGGCAAGTGTACCAGGAGAACGTCGATCCCGTCGTCAAGATCCTGCACATCCCGACGACGAGCAAAGTCATCCGCGATGCGCGCACCAACCTCGACAACATTTCCCCGGCGGCCGAAGCGCTCATGTTTGCCATCTACTACGCCGCAGTCAACTCATTAGACGAGAGCGAGATTCATACCAACTTTGTGACCGAAAAAAACACCCTGCTCAACAAGTACCGCTTTGCCCTCGAACAGGCCCTCGCCAAGGCCAACTTTTTAATCTCGTCCGACCTCGTTACCCTGCAAGCCTTTGTGCTCCTGCTTGTGCTCGTCCGCCGCCAGGAAGATACCCGGCTTGCATGGACGCTGACGGGACTGGCCATCCGCATTTGCCACTCCATTGGCCTTCACCGCGATGGCACCAACTTCTCGACCCTGTCACCCTTTGAAATCGAGATGCGCCGTCGCCTGTTCTGGGCCCTCTGCATCCTCGATATGCGCTGTGCCGAAGACCAAGGCACCGACCTGAGCATCCTTGAGCAGGGCGTCGACACGCTGCCGCCGCTCAACATCAACGACACCGACATCAGCCCCGAGAGCACATCGCTCCCGCCCTCGCGCGTGGGCGCCACCGACATGACCTTTGCCCTGATCCGCTACGAAATCTGCCGCGTCGCGCGTCGCCTGCATGCTATCCATTCGGCTATGGGCCCAATTGAGGCGGGCGATGCAACGCTGACGCTCGAAGACCGCGAGCGCATGATCCACGAGGTGTACGACCGTGTCGAGAATGTGTATCTCAAGCACGGCGACACACACAGCAACGCCATGTTCTGGGTGGCGGCGAACATTGCGCGCGTCATCTGCGCCAAGATGACGCTCGTCATCTACCAGCCGGTCCTGTTCCCCGGCCCAGCCAACGAGGGCATGTCGCGCGCCGTCCGCGAGCGCCTGTTCACAGCCTGCACGGAGCTCTTTGAGTACAGCTACATCCTGACCATGGACGAGCGCACCCGGCAGTGGCGCTGGCTGTTCCAGACCTACACCCAGTGGCAGGCGGTGGCGTACGTCTTGATCGAGTCCGGCCGCCGGCCCTGGTGCGCCTCGGTCGAGCGCGCCTGGAACAGCCTCAACTCGATTATGGCGTCCAGCAAGCCGCACGACCACGAAAAGATGACGGACAATGCGTCGCTGTTTGTGCCTCTCAAGACGCTCTACAACAAGGCGCGCAAGCACCGAAACGCCGAGATTGAGCGGCTGCGTGCCGATCCGGAGGACGTGGCGCGCCTCGACAGAGAGGACCGCTCGCGCCTCAACCCCACCATGTTCTCTGCCTACCACGGCAGCCTCGACGGGCTGCAGTGGCGCGAGCGCTGGCTGCGCCTGGTCGGCGCGCCACAGCTCATTGATGAGCCGGCGTCCGTCTCGACGGCCGCGTCTTCGATGAACCCCTCGACGCAGAACCCCTCGACACCCGCCGGCGATCTGGCGACCAACAAGGCCGCCGGCGGTCTCCAGCTGCAGCAGCAACTACCACAGCTTCCCGTGCAGCAGCTGAACCAGAGCCAGCAGCAGCAGCAGCAGCAGCAGCAACAGCAGCAACAACAGCAACAACAGCAACAACAGCAACAACAGCAACAACAGCAACAACAGCAACAACAGCAACAACAGCAAGGCGAAGCTATTTCCAGCGACCCACAACACCCAGCCAACAAGGTGCTGGACAAGGTCTTTTCGAACACGACGTTTGAGCCGACGGATCTCTACCAGGTCCTGAGCCTCGGCAAGGTTCCCAACGGCGGGCCCGCCGAGGTGTTTGGCTCGTTTGGAGGCGCGGACATGCCACGACAGGACATGACGCTGGCCGCATTCGCCACGGACCCGTCGCTGGCGTTTTCCAATCAAGGCATGGCTGGTGGTAATGGCAACGGCAACGGCACCTGCACCACGTCGCAGGCCGCCGAGGCCACGCCGCTCGTCGACGCGATTGTCAAGGACTACCCGCCGCCGTGGCTGTGGACCGACGACAGCGTGGACAACAACACCAGCCAGTTCCCGAGCATCCTGGCCGATGCCGGCGACGTGAAGATGGATGACATGGACGAGAACTTTGACTGGCAAGACTTTAGCGAGACGCTGGGCGGCATGTCCAACGGCGTGTGGAGTTCGCACGGTCTGTAAGCACCGCAGGCCTGGCTGTGGTTCGTACTATGACAAGGAGTATGAATTAAAATGGTTTACTTTAACGAAGCATGGACTATTTGCGCATTGAAACGGGGGTCGGTGGAGTTTTCACATTTATTTATATCATATTTTCTATTTCATGAATTTTTTTGACATTTTTGACATTTTTGGTGAATATATTTTATGCATATCGAAGTCAAATCATTTTTCACTTTTGAGGTGCATCTAGTGCTTTCAATGCGCATTCTTCTTGGCGTTCTCATCGTTGTACAAAGATGGGGCTGTCTTAAACACAGAAAACTGATAGCTGCAAGATTCCGGGGACGATGACTCTGAGATGTCGTCACAGGTACAAGGCTTAGCGCCTGCCAGAACTGTCAGAAGCTCCAGGAGTGACCCACTTTTCGGTTCCAATAGGCCCAGCTCCACCGCGCTGCCTGAAAGCTTCACGTCACCCAGCATCAACAGACACACTTCTCCTCGACTGTACGCGTCCTTGCGAGCAACCCTCGACCGTTCCTCTCCCTTCTCCTTCCCCAACATGGATGACCGCCGGGCATGGCGTCTGCTGCCGGCCGCGCACCCGGATGTGCCGGTCCTCCTCGTCGCGACGTCATTTGGGCCGGCGGCGTACAGCGTGTACGTGACGGACCTGGCGCACGTCTGGGCCGAGCGGCTCGAGCGCCGCGCCATTTGCATGCGCGCGTTCCAGGAGAACACGACGATTGACCCGAGCTACGACAATGAGCAGATGGGCGTGTTTCTGGGCAAGTTGCAGGCCGCCCTGGCGGGCGATGCCATCGCTGACGGCGATGCCAACGCCGAGACGCGGCTGTCGCTGGCCGCCGCCCCCAAGGCCGACGGCGATCTGGTGCTGCACATCACGTCGGTGCTGCCCGGCGGCCTGCCGCCGCTCCAGTGGCCCGTGCATCTCACGCGACAGCCGGCGAGGGCGGTGGCGGCGGCGCTCGTGCTGCCCCTCGTGCACGACCGTGCGGCGCACCAGCGCACCGAGGCACGGCTCGTGGCGGCGCTGCAGGACAAGGACGCGGTGATCAACAAGCTGGCGGACAAGCTGGAGGCGATGGGGGCGGGTGTGGAGAGTGCGTTCCCGACGCTGGCGGGTGGCGCTGGCACCGCCCCCAGCGCCCGAAGAGGCGGGCGCAAGGTCGCGCGCGCGGACATGGAGGCGCGGGTGCGAGGGCTGGCGCGGTTCGACGAGGCCAGGTTCCGGAAACAGATGCAGGCAGAGGATGTCCAAAGACAAAGGCAGACGGACGAGGACGGCGCCGATGCCACGAGTACGGTCACCCAGCTGGTGGAGGCGGCCTTTGGCAGCGGGGTTGAGCTTCGGTACGACGCCGACACGGATGCAGGAGGAGCGTCTCCGTCGTCACCCAGCCTCGACGGCTGGTGGCAGGCGCTGGGCACAGGACTGGGCGTGCCTCTGAAGCGCACTGGGCCTGCCACGGGCAGCAACAGCCAGCAGTCTGGGTCCCGCAACGACCGCGACGCCGCCGCCAGCGACGAGCAAGGTGACGGTGCTTTCCAAGAGGCGACACCGAATAAGACCAAAGCGGCAGCGGCGGAAAAGACGAATGCAGCCCCCAAGAAAGAGGCTGAGGAGACAAAGCCCGACGAGGACGACCCTCCATCACCGATACCCGCAAAGGCAAAGGCAGGGCTGGGCAAGATTGGCCGTCTTGGTGCCATAGGGAAGAAGCCCAAGGCAAAAAGCCCATCGCCGCAACCGCCAGTAGGAGACAAAGAAGACGGCAAGGGAGACGAGACAGCATCTGATGCTGAGGATTTGGAGCCGCCAACGACGAGGGCGACAGAGAAAAAGGAGGCCAAAACCGCGGTTGGCGGCGACGACGACGAGAAAGAGACGACACCTACGGTGACCACGGCCTCACTGCGGACAAAACCTGCCCGGGGAGGACTTGGACGCATCGGTGGGAAGAAAGAGAAGCAGCCTACGCCGGAGCCGGAGCAAGAGCCAGAGCCGGAGCCTGAACCGGAAGCAGAATCAGAAGCAGGCGCAGAGCCAACACCGCTGAAGAAGTCGACGGCCAAAGCGGCCAAAGGTGGTCTGGGTCACATTGGCAAGGGAAAGCCTGCGGCGGCGAAAAAGGAGGCTTCGGACGACGAAGATACGGGCAAGCGGAAAGCAGCACAGGAGGACGAAGAGACAAAGCCAGCGGACGCGCCTCCGCCGCCCAAAGAGGACGCCAGCAAGCGGGCCGAGGTGCTGCAAAAGGCGGTGGAAAAGCACGCAGCACCCGTACGCAAGAAGCGCAAGTTTTAAGCGAACAACGACCAAGCACGGCCGGCACGATGACAATGAATGTATGATATGTGCAGACCAACATGCTACAGTACACAAAGAATAATGATGGACGACAGCAATGATGGAGGACAACAAAAGAGCCCCCCCCCCTCCCCCTTCTCAGTTGAACCCCTTCCAGACGTCGGTGCAGGTCAGGTCGAGGGCGGTCGCGTTCTGGTTGAGGCAGTAGGCCTGGTTGCCGCCGCGGGGGCTGACGACGTCGATGTTGGTGGCGGAGATGGCGCGGCAGGTGGCGGTGGACGAGCAGGCCAGGGCGGCGATCTGGGGCGCGTACTTGGTGGAGGTGACGCCGTAAAAGTTGCGGAAGACAACGTCGGCGAGGGTCAGCGAGCTCGGGTGCTGCTGGCAGACGGTGAGGTTTTTCTGGCCATAGCACTGGGTGATTTCGATGGCGTAGTCGACGCCGTCGATGTACATGCCGTCGTAGGTGATGTTGCGGACGCGACCGCCGCCGCCGCCGCCCTGCAGGTCGCCCGACAGGGCCGAGGGCGTGTTGGGCCAGACCTTGATGCGGGCGCCGTCGGTGGCGGCGTGCAGGCTGACGTTGCCGACCCAGACGTGCTCGACAATGTCGTAGGCGCCGGCGTACTGGCCGAGGCTGCCGATGCTGATGCCGTGGCTGCCGGTGCAGGACAGCGACGCGACGAGGATGTGGGTGCTGTTGGGCTTCAGGGACACGCAGTCGTCGCCGTTGACGACGACCGAGTTGAGGATGGCAATGTCGCTGCTGCGGTACGTGTCCCAGCCGTCGGTGTTCTTGGCGGCGTGGTGGGCGCTCGACGAGGCGCCCCCATTGGAATTGGAAATGGAAATGTCAATGTCGCTGAAGACGACGTTGCTCGCGTTGGCGACAAAGTGGTAGTACATGGGGCTGAGGCGCAGGTGGAGGTCGGCCACGACGCTGTTCTGGAGCCCGTCGATGCCCACGAGCACGGGCCGCAGGGTGTCCGTGTCCTGGGCGTGCAGGTCGTACCAGACCTGGCCGTTGCCGTGGAGCGTGCCGCCGCCGTAGACGAAGACGTTCTCGCCGCCGAGCTTGAAGAAGCTGGTGACGTTCTGGAAGCCGAAGCGGAACGAGTTGGCCTGCCAGTAGTCGGTGTCGTTTGTGAACTGGATCGTCCCTTGGATGTCTGGGGGGATGTTAGCGACTGTGTTCACAGTGATTGTTCGACCGGACCCACCGATGTCAATGTCCTTGAGAAAGGTCCAGTCCATGGCCGTGCCGACCAGGTACGTCGTGTCCGCGCGGAAGACGACGTGGCCCCCGTGATTGCACGCGTGGAAGGCCGACATGATGTACGTGGAGTCGTCCGTCACGCCGTCGCCGTGCGTCTTGACACAGCACACTTTGTTGCGCGGCGGCGGGATGGGGATCGGCAGACGCGGCTGCTTGGGATGCGCCACGACGGTGGGCCGCGTCGACACCGGCTTGCAGGGAGCGCTGTCGTTGCCGTTGCCGTTGCCGTTGCCATTGCTGGGCGCGGCGGCAGCTGCGGTGAGCGACACGAATGCCGAGACGATGATGAGGACCTTCATGGGAGCGATGGATGCGAGAATGTAAAGACTTGGCGAGTTGCTTTCTTTCGGGAACACCGGCTAATCAAGTCTGCAAGGCTCCAATGCTGCGATAGGAGAGTTACGGTTAAACCAGAGGCGCGCTGTCTGGAGCGGAGAGGAGGAAGCATACTTGTTCTACTGCTTTGTTTTATTTCGTTATTCTTGAATCGATTTGATTTAATAAAGATGGTTGCTCCAACTACAATATTAAGTCAATATTAATTCAATATTTTATTCATTATGTGATAGAATATATTTGTAGTTTCTGTACAAGACATCTCGACGAAAGAAACCACCGCTAGTCTTTGCAAACAACTGGAACAAAAGCTTCAAATCCCCAAATTAATTCACTGTCTTGTACCTGAATAGACTGTCGAGAGACATTGCTTCTGTTGAACCCTGATTTACAGATGAGATGGGTGTTGGCCTTGCGGTACTTCGAGATTGGCGTCGGCGTGCGCCAAAACAATGTACCACGTCACACTGCCAGCATGTAAGGTGATTGGCTCGTCGAGACCCACTTGACAGGCGAGCAGCCCACTTTACAGAGTCACGTGAATATACATCTATCAGGCAAGGCACGTGACTCTTCCAGAGTAGGGTTTCTTCCATGTTGGTGCGGAAAAACGTTTTGTGGCGGGGCCGAAAAAGTTTTGGTGCCAAAATTCACCCACTTTGGCGGTGGAGCACTGCTTTGCCTGGCCTGTGAGAGCAGAGAGGGCTTTGCACCAATTTTTTTTTTTCGGCTGGCTTTTCTGTCTGGGTCGACGAAATCCGTTCACGATCTTCTGCAGACCCCCTCTCCCGTTTTGAACGTCCTTGACATTTCCTCACCAACCGACGAGAACCCCCTCCGACACAACACCCTTTCTTTTCCACACACACAACCGTCGCAATGGCCAAGCTTTCGTAAGTTGCATTTCTATCGGAACCGAGCAGAGCAGAACGAGCCGGACTGCGTTGGATGGCGTTAGGGAGTTGGGGAGTTGAGGAGTTGGAGTTAGATGGAGTTGCAGACAGTTGCCAGGCCAAAAGACCAAAGATCACATGGACACCACCACCGACGACCGAGACGACCGACTATGACGAGACCGCATCTACCGAGACCGGACGGAAACCACGTCGAGATTTTGACCGAACGTGAGACCACATCGGACGAGATGCTGGGGTTTGACATTGTAGCGCACCGGTTGGTGTGAGCAGCTTTGTCAAGATCTACGGACGACGTTGGGAATACAGAGACGGGATGTTTCGCGACAGACTCCGTGTCGCCCGAATGCTGTTCTGCGAACTCGTCACGCCTGCGACACCTGATCGTGCCAAACGACAATGATACGACATTTCCGAGCATCCCTTCGAGCATCGACGACTTCGAGACGAGAGACACATGACGCCAATGCTGTCGACGGCTTTCGAACTGGTGGACTCCCGGCTTTTGGCATCGGTTTCTGGCAACTGGCAACTGGCACTGGCAACTGACTGGCACCTGACTGGCAACCGCATCTGTCGCGAATGGCTCAACTCCATGTGAATACACACTAACATCTCTCCCAGTCGTGGTGCCCCCGGTGGCAAGCTCAAGATGACCCTCGGTCTCCCCGTCGGTGCCATCATGAACTGCTGCGACAACTCCGGCGCCCGCAACCTGTACATCATCTCCGTCAAGGGCATCGGCGCCCGCCTGAACCGGCTACCGGCCGGCGGTGTCGGCGACATGGTCATGGCCACCGTCAAGAAGGGCAAGCCCGAGCTGCGGAAGAAGGTCCACCCGGCCGTCATTGTGCGCCAGTCCAAGCCGTGGAAACGCACCGACGGCGTGTTTTTGTACTTTGAGGACAACGCCGGCGTCATTGTCAACCCCAAGGGCGAGATGAAGGGCTCGGCCATTACGGGCCCCGTCGGCAAGGAGGCCGCTGAGCTGTGGCCGGTATGTCCACCCTTGACCCCTGTCTGTGTCGGCTACTATTGTTGTATAAAGGTCACTTGCTAACTCGTGCAACCAGCGTATTGCCAGCAACTCGGGTGTCGTGATGTAAGGGATTTCCTTTTTGTTTTGTTTTTTACCGGCATACAATCGAAAAACGGACATCAAGGGTCATCTCGGGAAGAGCGGAAAGAGGAAAGAGGAGAAAAACGAGGAAAAAGGAATAAAACTGGGAAGTTTATATTTGACAAAACTTCCGTGGCAACGACACACGGGGGCGTTTTTATTTTAACTTTTTTTATTTTCCATTTGCTCCTCGGCCGTTCTGCTTTTACGTCTTTTTTACGTCTCATGTATTCCATCGAAGAATACCTTTGTCCTAGGAAAAAAAAAATAAGAAAAGTTTTCAAAATACTCTATTCTTTCGCCAGAGCGCTGGCGACATGGATTCACGTAGATGCAAAGCGACAATGTATGGATACTGTGTGTATTGTATGCTGTGTCTGGTGTCTCGTTTTGAACTGTGAAGAAGACATCAAGACACAAAAAACGGAACAATGAAAAGCTGGTAAAGGTCAAGCAACCAGAAGTAGACAGTTTGGGTAGATGTCAACGACGCGAGAATGCAAGACAAAGGACAGGACGAGAAGAACGAAGAAACCGGAACAAAGAAAACGAAACAAAAACAAAACAGCAGGGCGAATACCATGCAATGCACCTCCTTTTTTGTATAATGCATCCAACGCCCCAAGCAAAGGGTAAACAAGCAAACAAATTGGGAAATCTGCGCAAGTGTAAGAGCAGAACCAAACAGGATGGAAATTAAAAAGCAAAAGCAAGAAACAAGAACACAAGAAAACCAGAAAACAACCTCTCACTCGCCAACGCTGCAACAAAGTAGGATGCCGCCGTCGCGTCACAATCCCAATCGTCCATCACGACCGTCCTAGCGTCGACGGGGGGCCAACAATAACAACGCCTGCGCGGTGGCCCGGCCGCAGACACCGCAGAGACTCCTACGCCTCTTGGCGGCTGCCCGCATACATGCCGCTGTTGTTGTTCGGGTGGCCGTTGCCCGGGTGGCCGCCGTGGTGGCTAGGGCGATGCTGCGGAGGGTGGCTCGCGTAGGGACCCGGGTTGCCCATGTCCATGTGGTGGTGGTGGTAGGGGCCGACCGTGTAGTCCATGTGGTGGGGCGGACCGCCCATATGGGCCGGGGGCGGCCCAGGCGGGCCAGGGGGACCGCCGATGGACCCGCTGGACGCGGCAGGGCCTTGGGCCTGCGGGCCGGGCGAGCCGTCGGAGCCGCTGCGGGCGGGGTGGGCGGCGACGGCGGCGACTTGCTGGGCCTGCTGGGCGGCGGCCTTTTTGGCGGCGAGGGTGGCCTTGCGCTTGGCGACGGCGGCCTGCATGGAGCCATTGGCCCAGCGAGCTGTTGGGATACGTTAGCAGGGAACAGGCCGAAGGAAAGAATGACGGGGACTGGGGGGACACTGAGATACGTACTCTTCATCGAGTGGCTCATCTTCTCGCTCTTGGTCATCTGGCGGTACTCCTTGTCGTCGCTGGGCGTGCCGGAGTCGGCACCGGGCGTGCTGCCAGGACCGCCCGGACCAGACGGGGTGCCGCCGAGACCAGGACTGACGTAGCCGTGATCGGCGGCACCAGGACCACCACCACCACCACCACCGGGACCGCTAGGACCGCCACCGGGCGTGTGGGGCACAAACTGAGTGTGGTTGCCGGGGTTCATGAGCATGGTGGACGACGATGCAGAGGACGACGCGCCGCCGAGGCTGTGGCGGTGCCCGCTGCCACCACTACCACCACCACCGCCACCCGGCGTGTTTGGTCCGCCGTTCTTTGCATTGGGCATCATCTGCGTAAAGGCATGGACGCCCGCCGAGGGCGCGACGGGCGCGGGCGTGTAGTTTTTGATCTTGAAGGTCGTCCGCTGGCGACCCGAGGAGGGTGGTGCTGTCGCCGCAGCCGAGGATGGCTGCTGCTGCTGGCTGGGTGCGGGCGCCAGGCTGTTGACACGCTGCGGCGGCGGCGGTCCTTGCGGGTGGTGGTATGCCTGCCGCGGCGGTGGCGGCGGAGGCGGCTGGCCGTGGCTGTGGCCGTGGCTGTGGCCGTGGCTGTAGTACATGTCCTGTTGCTGGTAGGGCATGGGTGGACCATAGGGATGCATGTAGCCTCGCTGCTGCTTCTGCTGCTGCTGCTGCGGATGATGGTGAGGGGGCGGCGGCGGCGGTGCGTGGTGACCATAGTAGGCCGACGACGCCGACGAATGCGGGTCTTTGGGGCTGTGGCCATAATACGGACCAGGGTGCTGGGCGTGGTGCGCGTGCGGCTGTTGGGGCTGGTAGGGATCGTACGGCATGGCAGCACTGTGCATCGGCGGGTATTGCTGGCTCTCGGGTACGGGCGCCGCATGATTGTTGTTGCTGGTGCTGTTGCTGTTGCTGTTGTTGTGGCCGTTGTTGTCGTTGGGATCGTCCATGGTGGACGGCATGCTGGTGTCGGCCTCCTCCTGCACAGATGCCGTCGTCCGCCGACGGCGCTTCTGCTTCTTGGCCGGCGGGCCGTGGGCGGTCGCAGCCGCGGCATCGTCGTCGTCGTACTGCGGTTGCTGCGAGCGGTGGCCCGGCTCGTCGTTGTTGTCGTTGTCAATGTCCTTGTCCTCATTGTCGCGGTCGTCGCCGACGCCGTTGTGGACAGCACGGAACTTGCGGCGACGCTTGGGCCGCAGAGCATAGCTGGAGTCGTCGGCGTTGTTGGCAGCACCGTTCGACGAGGCCGACGAGGCAGGACGGGCATGCTCGTCGTCGTCGTCGTCGTCGTTGCGGTCACGATCGCGGTCACGACCACGGCCGCTGGAGTAGAAGCTGCGGGGACCAATCTCGCCGGTCCGGCGACGGCGGCCGTCTACCTTGGTCTCTTTGACCTCCTTGGCCTCCTTGGCCTCCTTGGCCTCCTTGGCCGATCTGGCCTCCCTGGCATGGGCCGTGGAGATGCGCTGCCGCTTGGCGCCACCACGTCCCGCGCGCGGCGACTCTGGCGCCGTCTCGTCGCCGTCGTCGTAGGTGGCATCGCGGCCGTTTTCGGTAGCGTCACCATCGGCCTCCGTTTCGGCCCCAGCTTCGGCCTCGGCAGCCGCCGCCGCCGCCGCCGCCGCCTCTGCTTCGAGTGCCTCCTGGCGCAGCAGACTGTTCGGCTTGCGACCGCGACGGCGCTTGCGGCCCGGTCCGCTGGCGAGCGGCGACACGGCCGTGGCGGGCTTTTCCGAGGGCGGCGGCATGTGGCCAGCACGGCGGTGGTGGTGGTGGTAGGACGAGGACGTCGCGGCGGACTCGTCCTTGTCGACGAGATCGTCCGCCGCGACCGATTCCGACAGCTGGCTGCGCGGCACGCGGCCCCGGCGGCCACGCTTGGTGGGCGTCTGGACCGCCGCAGCCGGCGCAGCGTCGATCGGGCCGTCGTCGTCGTCGGTCTTGCCCTCGGCGGCAGCGGCGGCGGCGGCGGCAGCAGCGGCAGCAGCAGCAGCAAGGCGGCGGGCCCGGCGGGCGGGCCACGACGGCCACGGGTGGGCGGGACGGCGGGCGTCGATGCAGAGGTGGAGGCAGCCGCCGACGACGCAGCGGCCGGGCCAGAGTGGGGGCTGGCGTGCCGGCACGGCTGCCTTCGGCGCTCTCGTCGTCGACGGCGTTCTTGCGGCGACGCGTGCGGCGGCCGACGCCCATGCCGTCGTCGGCGTCGGCCTCGGCGGCCTTGAGCGTCTGCTTGGGGCGGTTGCGCAGGCGGGTGTTTTGCAGGCCCTCGCGCTGGGCCACGGGGTCCTGGCGGCTGATCATGGAATCGCGCGGGTCGTGCTCGAACAAGTAGATGTGGGACATGAGCTTGTCCTGCTGGCGGGCGTGGCGCTTGATGGGGTCGGCGAGCGACTCGGGGGCGCGGATGCCCTTGACGACAAAGTCGCGCTCGGTGATTTCGGTGTCGACGTTGCCGCGCTTGAGCGCCATCAGCGTGCGGTTTTCAAACGTGGCGTCCTGCTGGCGGCGGCGGACGGCGTTTTCTTCGTCGTCGGTGATGCCGCGCAGCAGACGGTACTCGTCCTGCCAGGCGACCAGGGTCTCGTTCATGTGGGCGAGGCAGTCAAACAGGTCGCTGGTGCTCATGTCTTTGTGGTCCTTGAGCGCGTCGATGAACTCCTTGGGATCGCGGATCTTGTGGAAGCGGTACTGCTTCTTCCACATGGGCTTGCGGCCGGCCGCGGGCGTCGACGCAGGGGCATTGGCGTTGGCGGGGGCGCTGCCGTTTGCTGTGGCTGCGGCGGTGGGCGTCTCGGTGTCGGGATCTTCGGACGCGGACGCCGCATTGGGCGTCGCTCCGGCGGTGACTGGTGCCGCCGTGGCAGCAAGAAGGGGCGTACCAGCCGAGGGCAGGTCGATGGGCGTCGGCGGGGCCGGTGTGGCCGAGGCGCTGTCGGCGGCGCTGTCGATGACAATGTCGGGCGTGGCAACGGTGGAGGCGAAGGACGCACCTGCAGCACCAGCAGCAGCGGCGGCGGCGGCAGCCTCCTCCAGACGCGTGTCGGCGGCAATCTTTTCTTGTAGGACGGCCTCAAGATCCGCAGGCGTGGGTGTGTCGCTGCCGTCCTTGTGGGAGGAGACGCTCTGTGGCTGTGTCTGCTCGGCGGTGGCAGCGTCGGTCTGCTGGTCTGTGTCCGGCTGGTCCGTCTGCTCGGCCGTGGCTTCGCGGTTGGGCGTGGGCGAGGGCGCAGCAGCCGACGCGGACAAGGCCGTGGTGGTGGTGGTGGTGGCCGTCGTGACGTTGTCGTAAAACTGCTCCGGGTAGAAGACATACTCGTTCTCCCAGGGCGTGAGGCTCTCCCACGGACGCGGGCCCGAGGGGCGGCGCGCCGTTCGGCCGGTGGCAAAGAGGTTGGGCGCGGTCTTGGTCGCCGACGGGGAGGCGCTGGTGGCGGCTCGCTTGCTTGCCTTGGCGGCAGCCGCAGCGGCCTTGGCAGCCTTTTGCTCCTTGAGCGTGGCTTCGTGGGCCTCGAGCATGGCCTGCTCCTTCTGGGCGGCGGCGGACGCGATGCGGGTGCTGGTGCGGCGGGTCATGGAGCGGAAGGCGCCGGGCGAGGGCGCGTCGTCCATGGGGTCGTCAGAGACGGTGGAGTGTGCCTTGTTGTTGGCGGGGGTTGTGGCGGCCGCGTCGGCGTCGGCAGCGGACATGTCGAGAGCATGGCTGTCATGACCGTCCTCGTGAATGTCCTCGTGAATGTCCTCACGGCTGTCGTTTTGGCCGTCCTCGTGAGCGCCCTCACGGTCCTCCATGTCCACGTCGGCGTCTTTGGGGGCGGTGTCCTTGGCACTCGCTGTGCTTTCACCACCCGCCGCTGCTTCCTCAGACGGCTTGGCTGTATCGACGTCGACATCGGTCGCGCCGTCATACGCGTCGACGGCAGCCGGTGTATCGTCCGGCTCGGCTTTGAGCTGCGTCGTGGCCGCTGCAGGTGCAGGTGCAGCTGCAGCGTCAGCTTCCTCGTCTGCTTCCTCGTCCATTGTCTCGGGCGCCTCTGCTTTGAGCGTGGCGGCCGAGTCAAACGAGTCGTAGCTGGGCAAGACAGAGGCGCCAGCCTTGGCGTCGGTGGCCCGGGCCTCCATAAAGGCGGCGTAGCGCTCTTCGTCGGCCTCGGACTGGAGGACAAAGACGCTGGGCGGCGAGCGGTTGCGGCCGCGGGGGATGCGCACCATCAGGCGGTTCTGGTGGTGGGAGTGGTGGGAGCGAGAGAGGCCTCTCTTCTGGGGGGACGCGTTCTTGGACGACAGCCTGGAGGCCGGCGACGTCTCTGCGGACAGCGCCTTGACCTTGGTCGGCGTCGTGGCAGCCGCAGCGGAAGCAGCAGCAGTAGACTGCCGGCGCGGACGGCCCACCTTGCTGGGGGTGTGGCCGTTGGCAGCGCCTGTGTTCGGCGCAGAGGTAGGTCCATTTGCCTTGGCTGCTTTGCCAGACATGGGGGCCGCTGTGCTGGACGTAGAATCCGCCGCCGCCGCCGCCGCCGCCGCCGCCGCCGCCTGGTGAATGGCCTTGGCAATGCTGGTCTGCGGGGCAGAGTTCGACAGCGTGCTCGAGTTACTCGAGGCACTGCGCTGCAGCGGCGTGGCCCCGGCCGACGACGCGTTGGAGTGCGAGTTGGAGTTGTCGGCCTCCGTGTCGCTGCTGGGCGGGCTGCCGCCGACGCGGATAGTGTCGTGGACAACAATGGCGCCGCCCGAGGGGCTCTCGAGGACCATGGGCGACGCTGGCACCGTGCTGCTGCCCGTGCTGGGTGTCAGGCCCGCACCACCACCACCGGCCGCCGTCGACGACAAAGGCCCCGATGCCGACGACGCCTGCACGGGCGTGGACACGGCAGGGGCCGTCGGTCGGCGGAGAGGCGGGCGGCCGCGGCCACGAGGCGCAGGAGCCGGCGTGGACACTGTTTCTGTGGCAGCAGCAGCAGCAGTTGCGGACGGGGGTGCGTGTCCATTGGCAGCACTGCCAGGCGCCGTGGTGGACGCGCCGTCTGCTGCGGCTGGCTGGTGATGCACAAGACGAATCTTCTTGGTGGCCACGGCCGGCGACGGCGACGACGCAGCCTCGTCCTCGGCTGTGGCGCCACTGTTGCGGAAGCCGATGTGGACCGTCTTGCGCTTGCGGCCGCGCGTGGCCGGTGCCGACGGCGTCTGTTCGCCGGCATTCGGCTCGGCGTCGTGCTCCGTGTCCCTGGCGGTGTCGTCGTTGGCGTGGCCAGTCGTGCCTGTGCTTGTGCTTGTGGCAAGGCCAGTGCCAGCCGTGGTCTCGCCATTCTCAATGTGGCTGTAGTCGACCCTGCTGCGCTTCCGCAGCGAATGGCCGCCCTTGCCCTTGGCCATCTCCTCGGCGGCAGCGGCCGCTGCATAGGCGGCCGCATACGACTGGGCCGGCGTCATGGGCCGGTCGGTGTCGTTGGCACGCGACGACCGCCGCCGCGTCACGGGCGCCGCTGCCTGTCGGCTGGATGCCGCTGCAGCCATGGCGGTGGGCGAGGCAGGCGGCGACGCCGTCAAAGGCTGTGACGGGTCGATGGCCGACGAGGACAGGGTGTGTAATGACAGAGCGTGGGATGGGGTGGCAGCGGTCTCCACGGGGGCCGGCGACGACGACGGCGAGGCGTGTCGCAGAGACGTGCGAGGCCGGCCGCGCGCAGAAGAAGACGGCGGCGGCGGATGAGAGTGGGAGTGGGAGGAAGAGTGAGAGAGATGGGAGCGGGACGGCGAGGAGGTGGACGAGCTGCGTTTTGCGGCTGCCGGGGTGTGGGAAGATGGGACCTGTGTGTGGCCAGTTTGGGTCGAATGGCCAGAAGGGCCGGAATGGCTTTTGTCACCAGGCAAAGACAGCCCGTTGGCGGCCGTTGCGGGCGATGCAGACGACTGGCTCCGGGACAGACTGCGGCGCGGCGAGGGCTGGGCAGACTGGGACGTGGCATGTGCGGGTGCGGAATGAGAATGAGGATGAGACGGGACGGAATGGGCAGAATGGGCAGAATGGACAGAGCTTGGAGAATGTCCCAAACTCTGCGCGGCGTGAGACGACGGTGCGTTGCCACCCGCACTGCCTCGCGACCGACTCCCACCGCGAACACGGTCCATGGTGGCAGGCCAGCGGTCGGTCAGACGCAGCAATAAGGAATAAAGGATGTGAGGGAGTGGTGGGACAGGATGTGAGGGTATGTGTTTGAGGGATGTTTTTGAGGGTAAAGAGACGTGATAAAAAACAAAAAGGAGGCAAATGGGAGGCGACGCGATGTGGCCAAAACGGCCTGTCACCGGCGTCAAAACAATCACACAATTGAGCGCAAGACGCCTCGGATGGCCCTGCGCGTGGTGACGGAAGAGCTGACGCCAGGGGAAGCGGTGGTCGTCGCCGCGATGCTGCCTCTTCTTTTCACCTTTTGCAACGTCGTGGCTGTTTTTTATGTGTAAGAGAGTTTTAAAGGCAACACGCCTTGGGCTGGGGACGCTAACAGCCAAACCGGCAAAGCAGGAGCCAAGAGCCAGGAGCCAGGAGGCCAGTAGGAAGGAAGGAGCCAGCAAACGGGGCGGCGCCAGGCGGACCCAAAACGGCAGGGGCGTGTGGGCTGGTATGAGGAAGAAAAAACGAATAAAAGCGTGGCGGGCCAATAGACGGCGCCAAAAAATAAGAATTGTGGGGCGTCAAGTACAGCAGGCTCGAAGAGCAACAATGAGGAGGGAGAAGACGAGAAGCAGTAAAAGCAAGGAGAAGAAGAAGGAGAAAAAAGGAGAAGAAAGAATGAAAAGACGCCGATAAGACGATGTAGTGAGTTTCTGGGTGATGCAAACTCGAGAATGAAGAAACAGCGACAGCGACGTCACGCGATGGCTGGTGACAACTCACTTTGCCAGGTCGACGAGCATATGGCCCTATTACTGTGTGCTGTCTATTGTGTGGTTTACTGTCTGCTATTTATTGTGTGCTGTTACTGGTTACTGTTTTACCTACCGTGATTCTCTGCACTCCAAACTCACCGTCGCATGACTCCCTGCTCTGGCCTGCTTCAGCCTTGAGAATACCTCAGATTGCTTTACTCGCGTTGCTCTCTGTCGTCGACATTGTCAAATTGTCGAAGTCATCAAACTCATCAAACTCATCAAACATCAAAGTCGGTCCCGTATTGTAAACGTCTCTACAGGATAAATACAGCCAGCAGACACTTCCATCTTCTCAACGCTTTCAATCCCCTCTGTCAGCCTGCTCTCAAACATCCCTCAGCTCTCACTCTCACGCTCTCACACACACCTTTACACCTGTCCATTGTTTGACTGCCAGGCTAAACTGTGCACGCAAGCACTCTGTGCACAAGCCACAGCCGCCACAGCCCATTGTCTTGTAAGAGAGCCCGTCTGTGATTGGCCGGCCCGTCACTGGCCTCTTGTCCTTTTCCATTTTGGGACTAGCGCAAACTGAAGTCACTGGCACCTGAAAGACCACCCAAATTGACAGAAAGAGGAGGTGCAGGTGGGGCAGCGGGCCCGTCGATTACAGGTGGAGCATCGCCCGTGACGACAAGACAGGGAAGGAGCAGGACAGGCAGGAGACAGCTTGGCCTCTGACGACACTTTACGTTCCCCAGAGAGACGCTTCCGCTTGGAACACCACACACCCAGCATCGTCATAGGGCACCACCGTTGTCCACGCAGAGACGACCGACTCTTTTCTGATACACAGGACAACCCGAGGGTATGTAGACTGGCGAGCTGCGTCGCCCGCTTCGATTCCCTACAGCTTCACATGCTTACTGACGTCTGCAGTGCATCGATCCTCCAACATTGCCATCTGCTTCCACAAACACCGACCAGCTTCCTTCATCCCCCTCCCACCATGGCGTCCAAGCGGGCCAAGAGCGCCACTAACGAGGAGCTCGACTCGCTCTTCGAAGGCATCGGGGACGAGAAACCCACCGGGGCCGCCAAGAAGGCGGGCAAAGCCAAGACCACGGGGACCGGCAAGCTGAAATCGGCCGCCGATAAGGATCTGCTGGCCGCGCTGGAGAACGAGGTCGGCGACGAGATTGTGCGCCCGCACACGCCCCGCATCAGCAAGGAGGCCAAGGCCTCGCCAGCGTCCGCGTCCGCGTCCGCGTCGGCACCAGCACCGGCCCGCCGCTCCGTCGAGAGCAGCAAGGCCTACTCGGCGCGGACGAGCACCGACGAGCGGGCCGTGGACGCCTCCGCGGAAGGCGCCGCAGCGCCGCCGGCCGCCACGACGGCCACGGCCACGGCCACGTCCACTGTGGCGGCCCCCGCGTCGGGCGGCTGGTGGGGCGGCATTCTGTCCACGGCGTCGGCGGCGATGAAGCAGGCCGAGGCGGCCGTCAAGGAGATCCAGCAAAACGAAGAGGCCAAGAAGTGGGCCGACCAGGTGCGCGGCAACGTGGTGTCGCTGCGCGGCTTCGGCGACGAGCTGCGCCACCGCGCGCTGCCGACCTTTACCAACATTCTGCACACCCTGGCGCCGCCCATTGCCTCCCACGAGCGCCTGCTCATCCACATCACCCACGACATGGTCGGCTACCCGGCGCTCGACCCGCTCGTGCACGGCGTCTTTACGCGCGTCATGGCCCAGGTCGAGGGCGGCGATCTGCTCGTGATCCAGCGCGGGCAGGAGTCGCAGGCGGCCGGGTCGGCGTCGGTGGGCAGCGGCGGCAGTGGCGGCCACAGCCGGAACAGTGCGGGCTGGCGCGACGGGCCGTGGTGGCGCGTCGTGCACTACCCGCGCGACCTGGGCGCCGTGCCCGGCCTGCGCGAGGGCACGAAGCTGTGCCGCGCGAGCGCCGAGGCGTACGCCAACGAGTACTACGCGGCCCACTACGGGAGCGATGACAAGGACAAGGGCACGAGCAAGGGCGGCGCCCGCGACCGCGTCGCCGACAGCAAGCGCGGCCTCGCGGTGGCCCGCCAGCGCGCCGTCGAGCCTGTGTCGGAGCAGAACCCCGTGCGCCGCTCGGACATCTTTTTGGCCGTACAAGCCTTTACCGTGGCCGCCGAGCCCAAGGACGAGGACGAGGACGACGATGACGACGAGGACGACGACGAAGACGACGAGGACGAGGCGACGGACGCGTCCGACGAGTCCGACGAGCTCGTCCAGTTTGCCGTGCACATCCGCGACCCCGTCCACGACATTGTCTACCACACCGTCAGCCAGGCCCTGCCGGCCAAGTGGGTGCGCTGGCTCGATGCGCGCCCGTCGACGTCTGCCTCGGCGCTGACGCCGGCCACGAGCGGCGGCGAGGGCGAGGGCGAGGAGGAGGACGACGACGACGACAGCAGCGACGACGACGACAGCCGCGACGCAGACGGCGCCTCCGCCAAACAGGCCAAGGCCTCTGCCTACGACGCGGGCGTCCCCGACGAGATCCGCGAAATCATCGACAGCGGCGCCGTCGACCCGCGCGAGTGGGTGGCCGAGTGGATCGAGGAGACCCTGACGCTGGCCGTCGGCGTCGTCGCCCAGCGCTACGTCGCCCGCCGTATGGGTGTTGGTGCCGGCAGCATCGGCCGCGGCAAGCGGCCCGTCGACGAGATCCTGGCCGACAATGCCGGCGAAGCTGCCCGGGCAGGCATTATCTAGGCAAGGGGTCATGTCTTGCTGTTTAGTGCTAGTGATTGTCTTTCTCTTTTATTGTTGCGGTGCTTGGGTCGTTATTATTACGCAACGGGTCATGGACTCTTGTTGCTCTCTATTTGCTGACTACCGTCTTTGTCTGTCTTCCTGTCAGTCTTCCTGTCATCTTCCCGTCTGTTTCCCCGTCTGTACTTTGCAATACCTAGGGCTGCATTTGAATAAATATCTTATTATGCATGTCCTGCAAGTGTTATGCTGGTGCCTGTCTGTTGAAGCAACATACAGCGTGGATCAGTACGACGAAATCAACGTAATACAGCGTAATCAGCGTAAGTACAGCGTAGTTACTGCCTAAATACAGCGCAATACAGCGTGATCAGCGTAAATACTGCGGAGACTCCTTCTAGTAATGACAATATTGACATTCGTTATCAAAATAACTCGCACGATGAGTTCTCTGTCTCACAAAACGTACACCCCTAGCTTACTCTTCTTTCCCTCCGTTTCCCCGTCCACAGCCCAAATGGGCCGCGTAGCTGTCTCTGTATGTCGATGTTGATCTGATACGCACTCCCAAATGGACGCTAACTCGGGGCGGAGATAAGCTGGGGCCTGAGCTCGGGGATTAGGGGCCTCTCAAAGGACACGACGAGAAAGAGCAGAGTATGCGCGAGAACTGGGCATCAAGCCGGCCGTTCTGTGGTAGTTGTCCGTTCTATTTTTTATTCCTGCGACATAGATGACAGCAGTATGAGAAACCTTGTGCTATTTGAAGCCATGCTTGTCCCTTTCATGCCTCCCTTTTCGAATGACAAGGCCCCAAACTTCGTCGCAACTTATCCCCGAGACCGAGAGACTTACAAGCAGATGACATTGTAAGTCGTATGTATTTCCACCAGGCAGCCGGTAATCCTTCATCCTGCTGTGAAAGTATTACTCAAATACGACGACACGTCCTCTACCACGTCACCATGTCGGTGAAGATGCCTCGTCTCGTTTAGACAGCCGTCTTGGTTGTGTGTGTTGTTTGCGTCGTTGTTTATGTCACCTTCCAGTTGTTTTATTTGTTCTTATTTCATTTGTTTTCTTATTTATTACGTCTTGCATCGCCAGTCTTCCTTGTTCGTTGTCGTCTCGTCTCGTCTCTCTTCCGTCTGTTTGTTCTATATATTTCTCCAACACCGAAACATCTCAGAATACGATTCTCCTCAACCCATCCTCCTTCATCCACTCTCACTCTCGACTTCTCCCCCCCCCCTCCTTCTCCCCCCCCATCCACTCACCATACCATGTTCAACACACTCCGTTTTGTCGGCTTGCTCGCCGCCCACCTCCCTCGCTTGGCGGGCCAGGCCGTCGTCCGCAAGCTGCGCGCCCTCCTCCACCGCTGGACGTACAAGGGCCCGACCGACGCGCCCAAGGTGGTCCTGGTCGTGGGCGGCTCCTTTGCCGGCTACCGGCTTGTGGCCCGGCTCTGCGACACGCTGCCGACCGGCTGGCAGGTGGTGCTGGTCGACCAGAACCGTCACTTCAACTGGAGCTTTGCGCTGCCGCGGTGCGCCGTCGTGCCGGGCCACGAGCGCACGGCGTTCCTGGCGTACGCCACGATGCTGGCCCGGGGCGCGGCGTCGGCGTCGGGTAAGAAGGTGGCCCGTTTTGTGCAGGGCCGGGCGGTGGCCGTGACGGGCGCCAAGACGGTGCTGCTGGAGTCGGGCGCGGCCGTGCCCTACGACGTCCTGGTGGTGGCCACCGGTGCGGCCCAGCGGCCGCCGGCCAAGCTGCGGGCCGCGGCCGACAAGACGGCGGCGTGCCGCGAGCTGCAGGGGCTGCAGGCGCGCATCCGGCGGGCGCGCACGGTGGCCGTCGTGGGCGGCGGTGCGGTGGGCCTGGAGCTGGCGACGGACATTAAGACGTTTGCGGGCGTGGTGGCGGCGCGCCACGCCGCACGCGTCGCAAAGGACCAGGACGACAAGGACGACGACAAAGACGACGACGACACCGTGGCCGACAAGCACGTCACGCTGGTGCACGCGCGGCCGCAGCTGCTCAACCGGTTCGGCCGGCGGCTGCACGAGCACGTGCTGGGCGTGCTGGAGACGCAGGGCATCCATGTCGAGCTAGGCCAGCGAGCGGTCATTGCGTACCGGCGTGGCGGTGGTGGCCCAGACGACGCCGCAGACGTGGCGGGCGCGCCCGGGACGCTGACGTTCGCCGATGGCCGCTCCCGTGAATACGACTGCATTCTGCAGTGCACCGGCCAGACGCCCAACTCGGCGCTGCTGCAGGACGTCTATGCCGGCGCCCTGGCCCCGTCGGGCGAAGTGCGCGTCAACGCCGGCCTGCAGGTGGTGACGACGTCGACGTCGACGACGACGACGACGATGACGGCCGACGGCACGGCAGACACGACCCACGAGACGACCCACGAGACGGTTGTGCCCGACATGTTTGCCCTCGGCGACGTGGCCGCGACCGGCGGGCCCAAGATGGCGCGCGCGGCCTTTGCCCAGGCCGACGTCGTCGCCGACAACATCCTGGCGACGATCCGCGGCCGGGCGGCGCGCCACCGCTACAGGCCGAGCGTGCTGGAGGCGGCCCTCAAGCTGACGCTGGGCAAGGACGCGACGGTGCTGTACATGGACTGGGACAAGGCGGACAAGGCGGACAAGGCGGACAAGGCGGACAAGGCGGCCAACGCATCGGTCCTGCTGTCGACGCGCGGCGACCGGGAGGGCATGCACGGGGAACGGCAATGGGGTCTGATGGGCGTCAAGTATGAGGATGAGTAGGTGGGAGGGTATGGAAGTACCAAGAGGCCATTATACCAGGCTATTACCAAATAATGTTTTTCGTGTTTTGTCATGCATTTTATTTATGATCTGTTTATTTTGGTACGAATTGATTCATCGTCATGGCTGCAGAGAATGAGAGAGGTATCTGAATGGTGGAGAAGAAATAGAGGGCGAGTATCAAGTGCAAATACAGAGAGTGAGAAGATCCGCCATGTAACATACAAAAGTCGTCAGCGACTTGAATCCGCCGCCAAAGCAAACGCCAGCAAAGAGCCGTCTATGCCGTGTTCGAGTCTACCAGTCCACACCCCCATAACTGTTGTTGATCCGGTCGTTGTACGGAAAGAACCAGTTGCCCAGGCCAAAGTCCTCCGGCGGATCTATCATCAGCCACTGGTCGACCTGCCCCGCGTTGGTGTTGGCGTTGTTGGGGGTTTGACCCTCGCCGTTGCTGCTCATGGCCGCTGACGGCAGGTGGATGCCCGAGTCGACGTCACCACCTCCGCTGCCGTCCACCATGGGCGCGTTGCGTCCCAGTCCTGACGCGCCCGATGTGGCGTGTGCCAGATCGCCGAACGTGGCGGTGCCCAGCTCGGCCATGCCCACGAACTGCGACGGGCCCGTGACGGCGGTGCCGGCGTCGGTGCTGGTCAAGCCGGCAAAGGCCGTGTTGGACAGGCTGCTCATGCCGCTGGACACGTTGAGTTTGTAGGGGTGGACGGTGTTGCTGTTGCTGTTGCTGTTGTGGTAGCTGGTATTCCTTGTGTTGGCTGCGAGGGCTGGTGTGACCGCCGTCGCCACCGCATCCACCGCATCCACCGCATCCACCGCCTCCACCGCGTCCACCGCGTCCACCTCGCCCAGCTCGTCCACCTCGCCCAGCTCGTCGCCCGTGTGGGTGCCGCCGAGGACGGCGTCGTCCGGCAGGGCCACACCGCGCCGCACGGCCAGGGCCTTGAGCGTGTTGATGGTGCGCGTGGACGCCGTCTGCGCCGCGGCGACAATGACCTGGCGCACGGGCCGGCCCTGCATGAGCGCGTCGGCCTGGGCCAGGGCGCCGCGGAAGAAGAGGTAGCCCTTGACATTGGTCTCGCCGGCCTCGAGGCGCGCGTGTGCGAGGTCGATGAGGGTGCGCACGGTGTCGTAGAGCTCGCGCTGCGACAGCGTCAGGTCGGCGGCGGCGCCGGGCACGTCGTCCTCCTGCAGCTGGTGGATCAGCTCGATGACGGCCGTGGCCGTGATGTCGACCTGCGTGCACTTGAGCATGCCGCGGCCGACGAGCCAGAGCCGGCGGCAGGGGTCGGCGGCGGCGGCGGGCTGCAGCAGCGCCAGGGGGATGCCGCTGGCCGGCTCGGTGGCGCTGGGCCCGTCGCTGGCCAGGGGCGGCGTCGTCGTTGTCGTTGTCGTTGTCGTCGACGTCGGCGAGGGCCCCCGCCGGAAAAAGGACAGCAGCCGCAGCACCGTCTCGATGCGGGCGCGCCGCGAGTAAAAGAACTGCACGTTGTTGCCGGCCTTGCGCGCAAACGGCGAGTGCAGCGCGTGGTGGAAGCGCCGCGTGAGAATCTCGTAAAAGGCGATGCGCAGCTGGGCGAACGCGGCGCGCTCGGCCTCGTCCCGAGGACCGTCGCCGGCTGGTCGTCGCCACATCAAGGGGGCGGCGCGCAAGGCCGTTGCGGCGTAGCGACACGACTCTAGCAGATCGGCACTCAGCTGCAGCGCGCGCTCGTACGTCAGCCCCGCGCCCAGGCCGTTGAGGGCCTTGGCGATGCGCAGACGGACGGGCAGCGAGCGGTACAGCAGGCGCTGCATGCTCGTCTGCGTGAAGACCGTGTCGGGGTGGCCCTGGCCCTGGCCCTGGCGCGGTGCCGCGGGCTTCGGGACGCATGGCTCGCCACGGTGCAGCAGACCGTCGCGGTCGCGGTCGGGGTGTGCACTCTCCTGTCCATCATTTGTGCCGGCACCCGGTCCGCCCTTGCGCTTCTTGCTCGCCCGGTACCCCGGCATGGCCACGCCGTGGATCGGCAGGTCCACCGTGAGGTGGTCGTACGCAACCGCCCCCCCTTCCCCCTCCGCATCCGCGCCAAACGCGTCGTCGTCGAGGTTCGAGGGCGGCGCGCAGTCGTAGTCGTCGGCGCCGACGAGGGGCGGCATGCCCTGGTCGAGGCTGGCGTGGACGACGAGCTCCAAGATGGTGGCCCAGAGCCGGCGGCGCATCTCGGCCTGCGCAAACGACAGCGAGCGGAAGTGCGACGGGTCGCGGTTGAGGCCCATGCCAAAGGCGGCGTGCAGCAGGCCGCCCGTCGTGAACCAGGTGAGGTCGTCGCCGAGGTCGAGTGCGGTGGTCTGGCGCGCCAGCGTGACGAGGCAGTAGATCTGCAGCGTGTCCATGTTGAGGCGGTGCTTGTCGAGGGGCGAGCAGTGCGTCGCCTCCATGCGCTGCACGGCGCGCGTGGCGGCCATGCGCAGGCGGCCGTGGATGGCCGCCGCGGCCGCGGCTGTCGTGCCCGCGGCTGTCGTGCCCGCAGGCCGGGTGCTGCCGCTGTCGGGGCTGCCCTCCGCGCCCACCCGGTCGTCCGTGTCGCCGTCATAGAAGCAGCTGCCCAGGGCCAGCACGAGCAGCAGCTTAACCATAAAGTCGGCCGACGCGCGGCCCGGGCCATCCCTGGGGATGGTGTGTGCCGACGGCTCTTTTTGCGGTCGTTGGTGTCGTCCGTCGTCTCCGTCGTCCCGGTCGCGCGCCGCCAGAAACGCCTCGTACTCCCGCCGGAACGTGGGCATGTGCAGGATGCGGAACTGCGGCTCAAACACGTCAAAGTACAGCGCCACCAGCCGGTCGGCCACCGCGCGCGGCGGCACCGCCAGCCACAGGGCGTCCCCCCGCTCGGACGCGGCGGCAATCTGCGCGCGCTCGTCCGCCTTGATGACGCGCGCGATGCGCTTGCACATGCGCAACGACTGGTAGATGACGGAGCCCGGGACAAAGTGCACGAGGTGCGTCAGGCTGTGCATGTCCTTGAACTCGTCCATGTTGTTCATCCAGTGCGAGCGGCCAAACAGGCGCGTCTTGGCCAGGCGGCCGCCGAACCGAGACGACCGCTCGCCCAGCGAGACCATGGTGTTGGTCAGCTCGGCGCCGGGGGCCACCTCGTCGTCGTCGTCGTCGAGCGGCGAGGTCGTTTTTGGAGGGGTGTCCCCGGAGGCGGACTCTGCTCGGCCAGCCCTTGTACCAGTCCCTGTACCAGTCCCTACCCCGTCCCCTGCTCCTCCACCCCCCGCACCGCCCGCGCCAGGGCTGACGGGCGTGCGCAGCGTGCGCAGTGGCCGGCCGTACGGCGGCGGCACCGACCCCGTGACGTAGACGCACTCGACACGGTGCAGCGCGCACTGACCGCAGGGCGTCTTGCGGTCGCAGGCAATCTTGCGGCGCCGGCACTCGGCACAGACGACGGCCGGGCGGCGGCGTTTGCGCGCAGGCCGCGGCGGCGTGCTCGTGATGTCGGACATACGTGTGTGAGAGGGGACGCGCGCTCTAGGTGCAAGTGGTGAGGGTGTGAGGGTGTATCTTGTATCTTGTGCTGTTGTCGTTGGTCAAAGGCAAACGTTCCAGTTGGATCTGTGTCTCGTTCAGTGGCGGGTTGGCAGACAACAAGAAAAAAAAGTCAGCGCGGACATGTTCGGCCGACACGCAAGAATGTCAGAAGAAGGGCGCGCTGCAGTTCCGAGTTGTTGGTTGCCTTTCTCTTGTTTCGTAGTTTCTTTGTTTTCCTTTTCAGCAGTTTCCTTTCTCTCTATTGCGCCTCTTTCTCTCTTGCCGTTTCGATTCCTTCCTTTTGCTTTCCTTCTTCTTCACTCCTTCCTTTTCTTGTCGCGAAACCGTAATCCCCGTCTCCGTCGGAGGAAAGAAGGGCCCTGAAAACGGTGACGAGTAGACTCCAGGCACCAGCCGCAGCGCCTTACAGGGCCAATGCCCGCTAAACAAACAATTTCAGGCCTTTTCTGCCCCAACCGAAGACAACCAGCCCGCATCGGAGTTTATTACAGCGCTTATCTGATGATCTGATAGCGGATGGTCTCCATCACTGTACGCTATCGCGCGCTGTTATTGGTGTCGCACATCTGGTCGACCGACGCCGATGGCGGACCCCCTTCGGTGCTGTTTACCGCTTTTGCTTATTTTTGTGCCGACAAAGTGCGTCTTTCCTGTCGCTGTAGTGGTGTGTAGCGGCTTCTGTCGGATGGCATCTACAAAGGCGCAGGTCACTCAGCAGTTGCCGATGCATTGGCAGCCCTTTGGCAGCCCTTTTGGCGGCCCTTGTTCGGAAACCGAGGGAAAGAGACCTTTGCACGACATGTTTGTTGTCATAAAAGCAGACAAACTGGACAATAAAGTGGTATTGCGTATGCTTACGTTTTGCGTCGGAAAGCGGAGGAATCCTGCCCGCCGAAAAAGGACCTCCATGGAACGCCGTGGAGGTAAACCCAAAGAAGGCAAGACGAGCCGAAAAGAGCCGAACGAAATCCCAACAAGGCAAAGTGAATGGAAATGAGTCAGGGAAGAATGGAAAGCGGTGACGGAACGTGGACGATGTAGCGAGGTGGCGATGTGGACCGAGGGCTTCACGAAGAGGGCGCGTGAGCACGTGGAGGGAGGTGACGCCAAGTCCGATGTATGTCAGACTGATTGGAGCATAGGTGTGATTTATTGCAGTGTTTAAAAGAACAATTTCGCTGGGTTTATCTATTATTATTTTTTTATATGTATTGTTTTACGTCTTTTCTATTTTTATGTTAATGTTTTTTTATGTGTTTTTTTTTTATTTCACAGTTCTCGATCATGCTCGTTTTCATAACAAAAGTGAGTTTGAATTCATAATCAATTTATTTCATAATATGTTGAAGTTAAAAAGTGACATGTAAACATGAAAATGAATATCACATCCAACTCAGTATAGATTCGTCCTCGTTGAACCACCTCAAGACTCCTGACCGCCACAGCGGCCCAACTGGAAAGCATGGCGTCACATTGTCGATGTCGGTTCTCATGTAAATCGACTTGACTCAGATAGCATACTTGGGGCCGTGCCCGCTTCAGTTTTATGTCGTCCTGTATTCATTAATAAGTTTTCCTATTACTGCACGTACTTCCTTTATGCCATTCTCTCCTCCGATTGATGGATAAATAACAGTTCCACTAGACGCCAGAATGGAGGTAATATCAGGGATCATCGACGTTTTGGGCGCAAACCACCACGTTTGCGCCGAGACTGCCTTTTGGCTAAATGCAAGTTAACAACATACAAGCAGTCCTTGCCAATAGTGAGAAAATGGGCAGCATTGACACAGTGACAACAAGACACAGACAACTGCAGACGACGGCCATGTTCCTCCGCTGCCAAGCAGTCGTGGTCCGGCATTGACATCATTGGCACTACTCGATTCACGCGAACATAGCACAAGAAAGGCACATTCGGTGACGATAATCAACAAAACTACGACCGCCATCCGCGACGATCGTTTCCTCGTGTACCTCCCCCTCCTTTTCCCTCGACCCCTCCCACGATGAGACTGTCGCAGTGGCCGTCTTGGCCTTTTGGCCTTTTGGCCTCCTGAGTGCGCGCCGACGTGCCGTTGACCGTGGCATTTGTGGAATTCGTGGCATTCATAATGGGCATGCGATGCAGAGGTGAACCGAGCGTCCCCTCTCCCGGGACGGGCTGGCCGGGATGGATATTGAGGTACGGAGTACAGATGAAGGGGGAGAAGCGAGGTGCGAGTATTAATTAATACAACGGGTCGAGCTCTCCTGGTTTTCGTTTTCTTGCCCTATTTGTTTCCGTTCTGCCTCCACTCGAGCACTCAAGGCTGAGCATCTTCTACCTGCGTCTCGCCACGCACCTCGACGCTCTCCTGATCATCACGCCGCCACCTGCTCGGATCGACAGCACCTACCCCGACCATGCTTCGTCGACGTATCTGCACGGCTCTGGCCGTGCTGGCCACCACGGCCGCCCACGTCGCCGCACTCGGCCAGCAGCGCATCATCGCCTTCAACAACTCCGTCGCCGGCAGTCTGCAGCTGGCCGGTGGCGCCGCCGCGGCATCGTCGCCCGGCCAGATCCTGGTCTCGTCCAACGACTACTGGGGCGTCATCCGCGCGGCCGGCGACCTGGCGGTCGACTTTGGCCGCGTCACCGGCACCAACCTGACGCTGTCCAACGGCGCGGCGGGCGCGGCGCCGGCGTCCTACACCTACCACCCCGTCAACAACAAGAACAACACGGTGTACAGCACGACGGGGACGGCCAGCTTCGCGGGCCCCGCGTACGCCGCGCCGGCCAATGCCAGCACCGTGATTGTGGCCGGCACGCTGGGCCACTCGGCCGTGGTGGACGCGCTGGCGGCGGCCGGCCTGCTGGGGGACCTGGCGCCGGTCGCCGGTCAGTGGGAGGCGTTTGTTAGCGTCGTGGCCAACGTGTCGTCGGTGGTGCCGGGGGCGGGCCGCGCGCTCGTGATTGCCGGCAGCGACCCGCGCGGCACCATCTACGGGCTGTACGACGTCAGCGAGCAGATGGGCGTGTCGCCGTGGTACTTTTGGGCGGACGTGGCCGTGGCGCAGGCGCCGGCAGCCAACGGCACCAGGAACGGCACGGCCAGCGGCATCTTTGCGCTGCCCACGCGCAAGGTCCAGGCGTCGCCGTCTGTGCGCTACCGCGGCCTGTTTCTCAACGACGAGCAGCCGGCGCTCACGGACTGGGTGGCCACGCGCTGGGCCGACACGGGCGTCGCTGCGGGCACGGCAGGCTTCGGCGCCGCGTTCTACGCGCTCGTCTTTGAGCTGCTGCTGCGCCTGCGCGCCAACTACCTGTGGCCAGCCGTCTGGGCGACCATGTTCGAGGTCGACGACCCGGCGAACCAGCCGCTGGCCGACGCCTTTGAGATTGTGCTGGGCAGCTCGCACACGGAGCCGATGATGCGCGCGCAGAACGAGTTTGGCGCCTTCTACACGGCGGCCGGCGCGGGGCCCTGGGCGTACAACCTCAACAACCAGACCATCGACGCCTACTTCCGCTACGGCGTGCAGCGGGCCGCGCCGTACGCCCGCAACGCGCTGTGGACCCTGGGCATGCGCGGCACGGGCGACACGGCCATCGAGGGCCTGGGCACCGCCAGCATCGTGGCCATGCTCGAGACGCTGGTCGCCCACCAACGGCAGATTCTCGCCGACGGCCTCGCCACCGACGGCCTTGCCGCCGACGTCCGCGACATGCCGCAGATGTGGTGCCTCTACAAGGAGGTGCAGTCGTACGTCTTTGCGGGCCTCGCCGTGCCCGACGACGTCACGCTGCTGTGGGCCGACGACAACTGGGGCAACGTGCGCCGGCTGCCGCGCGCGTCCGAGCAGCACCGCGCGGGCGGCGCCGGCGTCTACTACCATTTCGACTACGTCGGCGACCCGCGCGACTACAAGTGGATCAACACCGTGCAGCTGGCCAAGACGGCCGAGCAGCTCGGGCTGGCCTTTGCGCGCGGCGCCGACCGCATCTGGGTCGCCAACGTCGGCGACCTCAAGGGCCTCGAGCTGCCCGTCAGCCACTTTTTCGACCTCGCGTACGACCAGCCGCGCTGGGGCTATGGGGGCCGCGGGGGCGTTGCTGGAAATAGAACCGTCGGCGAATGGACCACGGCGTGGGCGCGGCGCGAGTTTGCGTCGGCCGACCCCGCAGCCGTCGCCAGCATCGTCGCTCGCTACAGCATGTACGCCAGCCGTCGCAAGTTTGAGCTCGTCGAGCCGCAGACGTACTCGGTGCTCCACTACGGCGAGGCCGACGCCGTGCTCGCGCAGTGGGCCGCCCTCGTGGACGACGCCCAGAAGGTGCACGACGGCCTCGCGGCCGCGGACCAGGCGGCCTTTTTCGAGATGGTGCTGCACCCCGTGCTCGCCGGCGCCCTCGTGCACCGCATCCACACGGCCGCCGCCACCAACGCCCTGTACGCCGGCCAGAAGCGCAACGCCGCCAACGCCGCCATCCAGACGCTGCTCGACGCCTCCGCCGCCGACGCCAACCTGACGCGCCGCTGGAACGCGCTGCTGGGCGGCAAGTGGGCCCACATGATGGACCAGACGCACCTCGGCTACGACGGCTACTGGCAGCAGCCCATGCGCAACACCCTGCCCGCCGTCACCTATGTGCAGACCGCCTTTGCCTCCCTCGCCGGCACCCTCGGCGTCGGCGTCGAGGGCGCCAACGCCACCGTCCCCGGCGACGACAAGTTCCACGCCAACTCGGGCAACACCCTCACCACGCCGCCGCTCGACCCCTTTGGCCCGCCCCGCCGCTACTTTGACGTCTTTTCGCGCGGCGTCGAGGCCTGTGCGTGGACCGCCGCCGCCAGCGTGCCGTGGGTCTCGCTGTCGCTGGCCGCCGGCACCGTCGGGGCGAACGGCAGCGACACGCGCGTCCACGTCTCGGTCCACGACTGGTCGCAGGTCGCCGCCTCCACCACCGTCCGCATCAACATCACCAGCGCCTGCCGCGGCCTCGACCGCTACGGCTTTAAGCCGGCCGCCGTCCTCGTGCCCGTCGTCGTCCGCCGCGTGCCCGCCTCCTTTGCGCGCGGCTTTGTCGAGTCCGACGGCACCGTGGCCATCGACGGCGCGCATTACCAGCGCATTGTGCCCGCGCCCGGCTCGCCCAACGTCACCTACCACACCTTCCGCGACTACGGCCGCACCAGTAGCGGCGTCGGCCTCTGGCCCCTGACCACCGAGAAGCTGACCGCCGCCACCGCCCCCGCCCTCGAGTACGCCCTGTACCTCTTTGCCAACACCACCGCCAACGTCACCGTCTACCTCTCGCCGTCGCAAAACTACCTCGGCGACGACACCCCCCTCGAGTACACCATCGCCCTGTACCCGTCGTCGTCGTCATCATCATCGTCGTCGTCGCCACCCCCAGCGCCCGTCCATGTCCAGCCCGTCGGCCCCTCCATCGGGGCCGACATGCCCGCCGGCTGGGGCGCCGCCGCCGGCGACAGCATCTGGGGCCTGACCGGCAACCACACCACCACCTCGTTTGCCCTCGCGTCCACGCCCCAGGCGTACACGCTCCGCATCCAGGCCCTGCTGCCCAGCGTCGTCGTCCAGAAGATTGTCGTCGACACCGGCGGCGTCCGGCCGTCCTACCTGGGCCCGCCTGAGAGTTTCTTCGTCGGCCGCGACCACACCGGCACCTACAACGCCACCACGTTTGCCGACACGCCGGGTACGCTGGGCGGCACGGCCACCAACAACAGTGAACAGGTGTATAGGGCGTAGAGAGGGGACAAAGGAAAGGGGGAACACTGTAATGTAAGTCGGAATCAAAAGGAACGACGAACATGACGAAACAAAGACACAGCATATCGATGTGGACGTGTTGTCGGCGTGAGAGTAAGACATCCAATATAAATACTACAACGGCTCCAATGTATGCAGGCCAATCTAGATCAAAAACATTGCACAATACATGTAAGCAGGAAAGGAAGACAAGGCCAACGCGCACCTGGCTTTTGAACGTCTCGCAAAATTTGTAACACGTGGTCCATCTTTGTCTCGTCTTTATGTCGTGACGACATCCAATCGCCCAGCGTCTTACGCCTCTGCAGAGTCCGCCTCGGTCTCGGCTGCCGCCACAGTGTCCGCCTCCGCCTCCGCCTCTGCCTCTGCTTCGCCCGCCTCCACCAGCACGCTGTCCCGCGGCGGAAAGTGCGAGAACATGAGCACCGCCATGGCCAGCACGGCCAGCGCGCCGTTGCAGTAAAACGTCAGCTGCGCCTGCCCCACGTCGGCCAGCGCCGCAAAGACGTAGCCAAACAGGCCCAGCGTCGCCAGCCGCGCCATGTTTTCCACGAGCGTAATGGCGTTGAGCGCATCCGCCCGCTGCGACGACGGGCACATGGTCGTGATCACGCCCTTGGCCGCCGGTGCCGAGCCGGATGCGAACGGCAGCAGCACCGTGATCAGGTACATGTGCCACGGCTGCGAGCCCAGCGCGGCGCCCGCCGTGATGATGCCGTCCACCAGCAGGCTCCACCGCAGAAAGAAGAGGTCAAACGCGTAGGCGGCCTTTTCGTCGTCGGCCGCCGCCGCCGCGGCGTCCTCGGCGTCGTCGCCGTCATCGCCGTCGGCCAGCGGACGGGACTCGCCCGTGGGCACCGTCACCAAGATCGGCTCTTCCTCGACGAGCGTGGCGTTGGGGGCGTCAAACTGCTCGGGTTGCGTGGGGATGTCAGGAATGACGGGGGTGGCGACGGCTGTGGCGGCCGCGCTATTGCTGCTGCTGGTGCTGCTGCTGCTGGACGGGGACGTGGCCGTCGCGCCATAGGATTTGACGGCTGCTTTGGGCGTCTTGGCGGTCGTGGACACGGTCGCAGACGACGACGACGAAGACGACAGCCCGCGGTTCGTCCGCTTGGCCCTGCGCTCCTCACGGGCCCGGCGTGCAAACCAGGCGCGGCCGGCATCGATGATGCGCGGGAAGATCAAGACGAGGAAAAAGGCACGCATAAAGGCGTTGCCCGACATGAGCCAGCCGTTGTTGGTCTGGTCAAAGTCGAACGTGGCCGTCGCGTACATTTGCAGGAGCATCGGCGCGTATCCGGTGGCGAGCTGGGCACGTTAGTAACAGTGGTTCGTCGGACGGGGCAAGGGACGAGGCAAGACGAGAAGAGGAGAGCAGGACGTACGACACCCAGAAATTCACCGAAGCAGAGAAAGAAGATGCCGTAGTGGTTGGCCACGCGGCCCGCGTGGAGACGGATCTTTTGCGGCAGCATGACCTTGAGCGGCTCCAGGAACCCGGCCAGGCCGCCGGGCCGGTTCGTCTTGGCGCCGGGCCCGCTCAGCGACTCGGGCGAGATGTACGGCATGGCGTAGTGCGCAAAGGCGCTCGCAAACAGAAACAGGAAAAAGGCCACCTGGAAGGGCCGCACGATGCCAAACGTATCGCCCACCACGCCGCCCAGCAGCAGCCCAATGGCCATGCCCAGCATGATGACGCCCTGCAGCTTGCCAAAGAGTGCCGTCCGCTCAATGGGCGCGACGACCTCGCCGGCAATGGTGTTGACCACCAGAATGTAGCCCGCGGGCCCGCCCAGCACCGTGATGATCTGCGTCACCTGGAAGATCCAGATGCCGGCCTGCCCGCCCGCGTAGACGCCGACGATCTGCGTCGCCACGCGCAGGGCCGGGATCGACGTCTGCAGGATCAGGGCGGCGCGCGGGCCCAGGCGCTTGACCTGCCGGCCCGAGATGAAGAGGTTCCAGGTGCCGAAAAAGGTGGTGCTGATGCCCAGCAGACTGACCTGCCGCGCCGTGCCCGCGGTGATCTCGTTGCGGCTGCAGCGGTCGCCGGGGCCCGTGAATGGCGGGTGGTTGCTGTAGAACACGTCGCACTCCATGAGGCGGAACGCGTAGAAGATGGTCACCTGCGTGAAGCTGAAGCTCAGCGAGATGATGAAGCCGGCGAGCAGCACGCGGTTGGCCGGGCTCCAGAGCGACGCCAGCCAGCTCGTTTTCGGCGGGGCGGCGGTGCCGGCGGGGTCGACACCATCTTTGGAGAGCGGCCGGGAGAGCGTGGCGTCGGCGTCGACGGGCGTCTCAGCGGCCGAGGTGTTGGCGGTGATGGTCGCCGTCGTCGATGCTGTCGAGAGCAGCGGTGTCCGTTCACTGGCGGCCATGGCGCGGAAAGTGCGGATAGATGAATGCTATCTTTTGGTTTGACCTGTGAGGAAGGAACCATCCAGTGCGGGACGTCCCAAAAGCGAAGGTGGGATACGACGTGCGTAGCCGGGAAGGAGCGAGCGGATGCCGGCCAAGTGGAAAAATGAGGAAAGAGGAAGGTGCAGAGACGAACGACGAAGTAGATGAGGGAGGTGCGAAGGGAAACAAAAAAGAGCAGGTAGAAACAATGGTAGAAACAACGGTAAAACAAATCGTCACTTGGCCCCGTGCTGCCGTTCAGGAAAAAGAGTTTCCCTGGGGTCAAACTCCCACGACGGCCTACCGTGCCAGACAGGAAACAGTGAGGTCTGTACGAGGAAAGCGAGACGTTGGGCCAAATGCTGCGCACCGCAGAATACGACAGAAAATCAGGAGACTAAGGGGAGAGACGTGACGAAACAGGAAAGTGCAAATGAGGCTGACGAAATCAGACTCTGTCAGAGGCAAACAATGGGCCTGGCTTCCCTTCCCCACGGCACTAAATGCTAGTTTTGTTTGGCAGTTGAGCCTCTTCGTTCGGCGTGGTGATGTGCCTCTGGCGCTGCAGTGGTGAGATGCTGACCACTAGAAAGAGGAGAGATGGGAGGAGGAGAGATGTCGGGGCGCAGAACGACGGGAGAACAATTGACAGGGACCAACTGCCCTTCTTCTATGTTGTACTTCTTCACGCGAGCTACAGCTGCCTTAGTAATTGGGACGAACGGCTCTCTCACCGTTCGCGGAGGCTCGTACTATGCACAATCCTCTCGGAAAGGCGCAATCGGCAGCGGGAAGCCAAGGCGAGAAGGGAGACAAGCGACAGAGCCGTGTGTAGAAAAGCTAAGCAGATTGCACGTTCGGAGCGTTGGCTGCTTGAACGCTGGGAGGATGGGGGTGGCAGGTGAGGGGGGGCCACCCGTCGTCCCTCCGCGGACTTTTACTGTATCTCCACTCCCCGGCCGCCATCGGCGATGCAGCAAGGCGTAGCTCTGGCGTATGATTTGGTGCATGGAACCCGAGCCGATGCCCTGTAATGCTCCGTAGTGGTTGGCTGTATTAGACGACGGCAGGCTATCGCGCCAGCGACATTAATGCAGCAGGCGTAAATGCAGCGCAGCGCGCAGCCATTGTGCCTGCTTAGAAACCACAATCGACTCCGCGACAGACTCCTCGCTGAAGAACATTTCGCCTTGCCAGCAACAGCCAAACTAGCATCGCGAAACATGTCGTCGTGCTTGACAGGTACGTTGCGCTACCAAAAGAAGTTACAGCATACGTAGACTCCGAGGACGAGGACCGTCGTCTTGTCCAGATCCCTTAGTGGCTAGGCGGTCCCTCTGCAGATGACGAAATGCATGATGCACAATTTGGAGCTGCAATGCCGCCATCCGATGCGCTGTGGTTATCGAGCTGTTTGATCAGGGCAGAGCAGGTCCGGACGGACTAGTCTTATTCTGTTGGTCAATTCCGAACCGGAAAGAAAACATAACGAAAGTCTCCCATTCGTCTTCGCAGCTCATTGTGTCCTCTGCTCGAGATACCCATTGTGCCCTTATTCGTTTTAACGTAAGCCGGACAACAGCTATCCCCGTCGAGCCGGCTTACTCTCTTTGTTCTGCCAAGTCCAAATAAGGTGCCGCTTGGACGCCAGCAATCGGGAATCCTCCATGCCGATGGCAGATCTCGCGAATCATGGTTGCGGCGTACATGTAATTACTCTGTGCATGAGTCCCTGTGCGATGTAAGGGCTATGACGAGGCACACGACCTCGGCTAGAGAGGAGAGCATGAGCAGAGGAGGCATCGTCTACTGGTCGGCTCGGTGCTATTAATAAATGCGTAGGGCGACCGCGCAGGGTTTAATTAAACCGCAATGTAAATCTGCCGGACAATGGTACGCAGGTCCATTCAGCAGCTGCCGCATCAAGCAGGTGCCTGAACCGGAAAGTGACAAACAAGACTGCAACCAGCAATGCGGCGTCAAGTGCTACAGGGTACGCCGCGTGAATACCGTTGTGACAATCCAAAATCAAAGCAACTCGAGGTGAGAGACACCAGCGAGGTGCAAAGTTTCTGCTCGTGGCTGCGTGTCTGAACGTGTCTCGTGTACGCTGTACAAATGCCATTCCGTATTCGACTCGAACACCCTCACTTTCCCACCCTCTGCGAGCAGTTTTCCCTCGAGGCATTTATCAAGACCCCGACGCACAAACGCACAACTACGTATGGGAAAGAAAGAAGAAAGACAGTTCCCATCGCCTAAAACAGCGACCGTTCGCACTCTGTAGGGCACAACATACCTGCCGTTTCCTTCCCGGTTTTACATTTGGACAGTTGTGAAACAAAGACGGGAAAGGAGCCTTTCTCCGCAGCTCCCAAAACAACAGTATTGGTCCGACATGTGATGTCCACCTCTGTCGTTGACGGCCTTGTCTTGCTTGATTCCTGTTGACCGCCAACCAGACTGGGCGGTCCGCCCTATCAAGGTCCAGCTACTCGCAGACATCCAACAGTATCTCATTTCTCGGCCCCGGCGATCTGCTCTTGGAGGGGAAGGTGACTAAACCAGCGTGTTCTGCAGTGCACCTCAGTATACGGCCGATCTCTGCCCCATAAATCTTGCTAGTACATTCTCTTCAGAGAAAGAGAAAGGAGGAGTACGAAATATTGTGCCGTTGCACCACGCGGGACATACTTTTAAACACAACTGTCTCCCATTTCCATGTTTTGCGATGACGGCGGTCACATCGTACACTGGAATGCTCAGACAGACCTTGCCGGCCAGATGTTCTTCGTAGTCTGCCGTCCACCGCATGTGGGCTGGAGCGAGACCTGTGTTTGACGGTGACGGCAAATCTCGCACAGCCCTGCCATTTCGTGCTAGTCCGCCCACAGCTGGCCAATTGCGTGTTATCTTTGGATGCGCTACCACGGGACGACACGCGCCTCGTAGACGGAAGGTGCGCGCAAGGCAAGACACACAAGAGGTAAAACAACAGGACGGCCACAAGAGGAAAGAGGAACGGGAGGACATGGATGGACCCTGGGGAAGCGACGATCCTCGGCCACCTGCCCTTTTTTGTCCCTGTGCGGCGGTCGTTGGCACAACGTCCCATCTGCGACGCCGGTCACAACCAACACCAACCGTACTGGCCATCGTGCCGGTCTCGTCCATCGACTTCATTTGTACGGACCACTCGTTCAGTTTCTTCTTGGCTTGCGCGGTCTGTTTCTTATAATACAAGATGCGACTCTTCTTTCCGGTTGCTCGACCTCGTTCTTTCCCATTCTGTTGATTCGAGTCGCTCTTTCCGTCGTTGGTCCGTTGCTCCTTCCGTCCCGCAAAGTTGTCCGGGCACAAACATTTGTTGCGATCGTACCTTCCTAGTTTTGCGATTGTTCGATTCAAGCCTGTGTTTACCCTCTGCTTTCATATATTTCTCAGGGGCTTTTGTTCGTCGTCTTTCCCCTTTTACTTCTCATTTTCTACCCAAACGCATCGACCACCGACACACTGCTTGTGTGTTCACACATTTTGGAACTTGGAATACGGATCCCATCAACACGCGCACGTACATAGTACACTCCCACTCTCTGTACCACCCCTTGTCACGATGAAGTTTTCCTCCTCCGCGGCAGCCCTCGTGCTCGCCAGCGCCTCTTCCGTCGCCGGCATCCGTCACCATGGCCACTTGAAGCCGCCACCGCTGTCGTTCGACAACCTCACTTCCAGAGACACCAACACCGACCATGCGCAGCCCGCCCGCAAGATCCGCGGCACCAACAACGTCTGGCAGTCTTCGTCCTCGGCCTCGCCGCCTGCCCTGAAGAATTCCCCGGCCTCCTTTGCCGCCAACGCCAACATCGGTGTGAGCTTCTTCCAACAGCAGGTGGACCACAACGACCCAACCCTGGGCACCTTTGGCCAGCGCTTCTGGTACAGCACCGAGTTCTGGACCGGCCCCGGCGCCCCCGTCGTTCTCTTCACGCCTGGCGAGTCGGCTGCCGAGGATTATACGGGATATCTGACGAACCGGACTCTCACGGGCCAGTTTGCCCAGGCCATTGGCGGCGCTGTCGTCATGTTCGAGCATCGCTATTGGGGCGAGAGCTCGCCGTTCGACAACCTGACCACCAAGAACCTGCAGTACCTCACCCTGGCCAACAGCATTGCCGATGCGACCAACTTTGCGCGCAACGTGAAGCTTCCCTTTGACAACTCCACCCGCAGCAACGCCCTCCACGCTCCTTGGGTCCTGTCCGGCGGCAGCTACTCGGGCGCCCTGACCGCCTGGGTCGAGCACGTCGATCCCGGCACCTTTTGGGCCTACCACGCGAGCAGTGCCGTTGTCGAGTCCATCGGCAACTTCTGGCAGTACTTTGAGCCGGTCCGCGACGGCCTGCCCAAGAACTGCAGCGCCGATGTCGAGCTCGTCATTGACCACATTGACTCGGTGCTGACCGGCGGGTCAGCCGCCGACGTGAAGGCGCTCAAGGACAAATTCGGCCTGGGCGGCGTTTCGCACAATGATGACTTTGCCAGGTGGGTAGCATTCAGAAATCGCAACTCACAATCTACAGCTCACAATCCACTACCACCACGTAACTAACATACGCAGTGTCCTTACTGGCGGCCCAGGCGCGTGGCAAAACCATGACTTTGACTCGGGCTACTCGACTGTTTACCAGTTCTGCGACTACGTTGAGGTACGTCTCGCCTTTCTTGGCAATCTGCCATCTCCCCACACACGTACCACTAACAGTGTCTCAGAATGCGGTTCCTGGCGTGTTCAACTCGTCACGCAAGCCCGACGCCGTTCCCGGCGCATCTGGCGTGGGTCTGAAGAAGGCGCTCAATGGCTATGCCAAGTTCGTCAAAGACCAGCTGCTTCCCGGCTACTGCGAGAGCTTTGGTCCTGCATTCCAGGGCAAGCTGAACTTGGACTGCATGGACAGCCACAACGCCTCGAACCCAATCTACCTGGACACGAGCGTCGACAATGCGATTGACCGCCAGTGGACGTGGCTGCTTTGCAACGAGCCGTTTATGTACTGGCAGACCGGCGCCCCCAAGGGCACGCCGACGCTGGTCTCTCGCCTTGTTGACTTTGATTACATGCAGGCCCAGTGTGCTCTCTACTTCCCCGAGGACGATGGCTACACCTTTGGCTCCAGCTCGCGCATTGGCAAAACCCCCGACGATGTCAACGAGTACGATGGGGGCTGGTCGGTCACCAACACAACCCGCCTCATCTGGGCCAACGGCGAGTTCGACCCTTGGCGGGACGCCACAGTGTCGTCGGACTTCCGCCCTGGTGGACCTCTGGTGTCGACACCCGAAGCGCCTGTGAACGTCATCCCCGGTGGTATCCACTGCAGCGATCTGATCTACGCCAATGCGTTGGTCAACGAGGGCGTCATGGCCGTTGTGAAGGACGAGATTGCCACGATCAAGGGCTGGGTCGACGAGTTTTACAAGAGCAACGGCAAGCGTGGCAGCCAGTAAGGGACAAAGAGGCCGACCACTTGCTTTTACATGAGCATTTACTTCGTTTTTTTTCATGTTTCTTTTCGCCTGTCGTGTCTTATTATTTCCATTTCTTCGCCTCTTCTTGCACATATATTTTGGCGCCACTTGGACGGCTCGTCATGGATAAAATAAGCGTTCATTCTGTACATAGTTTTTGGGCTTCTTTTGGATTATACAATCACCAACTTTTCAGTTCGTTTGTCCCACATTGGGTCCATTTGTTACTCTCTCTGGCTCGGTATCACACAGCGGCGTGATCTTGCCTCTGCGCAGCTCCTCGGCCGCTTGTGCCGAGACCTCTGCCCATCTTTCCCGAGTATCGGCCTCGGCGTCAAAGGCATACAGCCACCGGTTGCGGATCTTGATGGACTCCGGGTCGATTTCCACACCTTCGTCGATGTTCTTGAGCGCATTGTGCCATCGGTCACGAAGGTCCTCGCCATTGGTCTGGCTCTGGCGCACGCGGTCGAACCGCAGCTTCTCGTATGTTCGCGTGGCCAGCGCGACGTCGCCATGGGCCAGCGACAGGCACACCGCCAGCACGCCCGCGCTCTCCGTGGCCTGGCTGGCGCCTTGGGCACTCGTCGGAAGATGCGCGTGGCAGCTGTCGCCCAGCAACGCGATCTGGTGCGACTGCGCAGACACCCACGTCGGCAGCGGGTCGCGGTAGCAGATGATCCAATCCAGACACGCGTCTGTGGCCTCGACGGCCGCCCGGATTCGGGGGTCCAGGTCCGCCACGCACCGCCGCACCTCATCCATATTGCCCGGCTGGAACCACGACTCGCCCGCCAGCATCTCTGCCTCTCTCTGCTTCGTCGGGATCTTCCGCGTCACGATCCAGTTGAACTCGGCGCCGTCCCGCAGCGTGTTCTGCACCAGATGCGTGTCCGGCCCGATCCAAATGTTGACGCAGTCGTGGTCCACAAACTGGCGGCACCCTTTGTCGTCGATGGATGCCAAGAGGTCGCCTGGAACGTAGGCCCGGAAGCATGCGTACCCGCTGCTGCGAGGCGCGTCCACAAACCCCAGCACCAGCTCCCGCGCCCGCGACTTGATGCCGTCGGCGCCCACCACGAGATCGGCGTCGTCCGTTGTGCCGTCGGCGAAATGGACAACCACTCGTTTTCTGGTCCTTCCGTCGGTCGCGTCAGTCGCATCAGTCGCATTGGTCGCGCCGGGTCTCGGGGCTGGCTCCGGTTCCTCGTAGGCCACCACTTCCCTCCCCATCGTCAACGGGATGCCCGCCGCCCGCACGCCCGCCAGAAACGCCTCGTGGTAGTCGCCCCGGTGCCCAATGCGCCCGGCCATGTCCATCAGCGGCTGCGTCGCCAGCACCTGTCCGTCCTGCCACCGCCGGATCTGCATCGTCTCCGAGCTGTTGCCGATCGACGTCAACGTGCCGTGGAGCTCGTCCGTCGCCTGCCACCGCTTCAAGAGCTTGAGTGCGTTCTCGCCCAGGCCCAGCGAATCGCCCAGCCGCCGGAACGCGCGAATCTTTTCGTAGACGACAACGTCGTGGCCATGGTAGCGCATCGCGAGGGCGGCCGCACAGCCACCCAGGCCGGCGCCGACAACAATGACTTTTCAAGACGGGGCTGTCAGCAGAGAAGAGAAAGAGGGAGAGGTGACAAGCGATACCTTTCATTTTATCCGAGGACATGGTAAGTACCGAGCGTTGCGTTGTGAGCTTGATGCGGTGCTTTTCTGCCAAGCTTCCGTTGAGCAACTTGTATCCCAAAATTGCAACCTCGTCGCAGTTATGTTATGCGATATTGCTGTGTTGAATTTGTTGATATTTCTGTGTTCTCTGCACCCATCACTTTATCCAATGTTCAGCAATACCGGGTCACCATTTCCTGTCTTTTTCAGCTTTTTACATATGTCCTCTACTAAATTCGTGGTTTCGTCTCCCGCTTCCATTCTTTAGCCTTGCTTCGCGAGGTGGCACAGCTGCACGACTCAACCACCTCAACAGTCGGAACTTACCTCATTTGCCGAGCCATGGTACGACAGACATTCTCCACATCTCCCGTCTTTCCTTTCGCCTCTTACAGAAGGCCATTGGTGCCATTGCCTCTTCTGGCCATGTTTGACGTTTCTCATCGGGAGCGTCCCGCCGAATTCGAACTAACACAACCGGTTGCCCGTGGTCAACCGCATCCCCGAGTTTACCCCAAGATGCGGGGAAAACAAGGCACATTCAAAGCGACAACCAGAAGCTCCACGCGCGTCAACATCCCGCACCACCTCCGGCCTTTTACAAAGAAAATGGTAATAAAAGATGGCGCGCAGCGGCCAAGGCGCCGTCGAATTGCTCAAACATATTTCCGTGAACTGCTCAAGAGGCCCGAAATGTGTATATCCGCGACACGGACTTATATGATGTGAACGTTGCAAGATTCACAAAATTGTAGCTTGACAACTTGACAACCGAAGACAGGGGCACAGCCGATTTAACCACAGCCGACCGTCAACAGCCATATTCACAGTCAGCATGTCTTCCGCAACCACCAAGGTTGCCACCCTCGAGGAGGCGTACAGTGGTCCGCCGCCACGTCTGCAAGACGAAGCGACGGCCAAACGAGACCGCATCGCTGCGAGCCGAACGCTACCGGCGCGGTTCACACGGCGACGTGGTCTTCAACCACCGCCCGGCATGTCGATCGACACGTTTCTGGCAGCCATTGCGGAACTGCGTGCGGAGCTCAAAGGCGGCGACGACCTCATCCAGGTCAACGACGACGGCGTCGATCTCGTCGATGGCTGGTACCTCGACAAGCCGGCGTCGACACACGATGCGTTCCATGTGGCCGACCCAGAGGCGCTGGCCAGCAGCGCCGTCATCTTCCCGCGGTCCACGGCCGACGTCCAGGCGATTGTGCGCTGGGCCAACCGGCACACGTCGACGTCCAAGGACGGGAAAGCCAGAGGCATCCCGCTGTATCCCATCTCCATGGGCCGCAACCTGGGCTACGGCGGCGCGGCACCGCGCATCCCCGGCGGCGTCGTCCTCGACCTCGGCCGCAACATGCACCAGATCTTGGACCTCGACGGCGGCAATGCTAGCTGCATCGTCGAGCCCGGCGTCTCGTACTTTGCGCTGTACGAGGCCGTTCAGCAGCTCAACGAGGCGAACAAGGGCACGCAGACGCCGCTGTGGATCGACTGCCCCGACCTCGGCGGCGGCTCGGTGCTCGGCAACGCCGTGGACCGCGGCGTGGGCTACACGCCCTACGGTGACCACTTCGGCAATCACTGCGGCATGGAGGTTGTGCTTCCCGACGGATCCCTGCTGCGCACGGGCATGGGCGCCCTGCCGGGGGCGTCGGATGCCGACGGCCAGGAGACGGACAACACGGCGTGGCAGTCGTTCCAGCACTCGTTTGGCCCGGCCGTCCACGGCCTGTTTTCGCAGAGCAGCCTGGGGATCGTCGTCAAGATGGGCTTCCACCTGATGCCCGCGCCGCCGGCACACCAGTCGTACTGCCTGACGTTCCCGCGCGAAGACGACTTTGCCGCGATTGTCGAGGTCATCCGCCCGCTCGCCCAGCAGGGCGTGCTCGGCAACATCCCGCAGCTGCGCCATGTCGTGCAAGAACTCAACGTGACGGGCCAGCCGCGCGCCACGTTCCGCCAGGGCACCACAGAAGCTGATGGGCCGTTGACGGCCGACGAGGTGCACGCCGCCGCCGCCAAGCTGCCCCTCGGCGACTGCGCCTGGGTCTTTTACGGCACGCAGTACGGTGCGTCCGCCGACGCCCTGCAGGACCAAATTGCCAGCCTCCACCGGCGCTTCTTGGCCGCCATTCCGGGCACCCGCCTCGTGCTGCCCGACGAGGTGCCCGGCGACCACTACCTGCACGCGCGCGCCCTTGTGTGTGCCGGCGTGCCGGTCCTGCGCGAGCTAGACTGGCTCCACTGGGTGCCCAACGGCGCCCACCTGTTCTTCTCGCCGATTGCGCCGACGCGCGCCGCGGACGCCCGCGCGCTGCACGCGCTGATTTCGGAGCTGCATGCCGCGCACGGCTTCGACCTGTTCCCGACGCTCTGCGTGGCCGGCCGCGAAATGCACTACATTTCCAACATTGTGTACGACCGGGCGGACGCGGACGCCAAGCGGCGGGCGGTGCGGCTGATGCGGGCGATGATTGCAGCGTGCGCAGCGCGGGGCTTCGGCGAGTACCGGACGCATCTGCTGTTTGCCGACCAGGTGGCGCGGACGTACAGCTGGGGCGGGCAGGCCCTGCTGCGGCTGCACGAGACGATCAAGGACGCGCTGGACCCGCAGGGGGTGCTGGCGCCAGGGCGCAACGGGATCTGGCCGGCGGCGTACCGGGGCGAAGGGTGGGAGCTGGGCGTCGACGATGTCGATCTAGACGTCATTCAGCCGAAGAACAAGCAGGCGTGACACGATGCAAGGTACAAGTTCAGTCGACCAGTTTCGTTCGCCAAATGATATTAAAATGTAAGCTGAAAATGGCAGCAAAATGCTAGAGACGGTGGGGCACTGTGCACCAGATCTCGGAACATGGGAACAATGAAAATAACCCGCCAAAAGATTGGCAAATGCCGCTTTAACAAACCAAACCAAACCCAAAACGCCGGCCAATGCAAACTGTACAAATACAAAATCAAAATGAGGAAGCAAAACAAACAACCGACTACACACTGCACACATCAAACGCCACCCTGCTGAAGCGGCTAGATGGCCATCGCAAGCAGCCCCTCGTAGGCCCGCTCGACCGTCTCGGCCCCGACGCCCGGCACGTTGCGCAGCTGGGCCAGCGACGCAATGTGGTGGACCGGCGTGGCGGACCGGCTCATTGTCTCGGCGTCGGCCACGTCATCGTCCTCGTCGTTGTTGTTGTCATTGTTCTCGTTGCTGCCCTCGCTGTCGTCGTCCTCGCTGGTCAGCTCGGCGCCCGCCAGCCCGCCGCCGCGTTCCAGGTAGGCCACGAGGCCGCGGGCCGTGCGCGCGCTCATGCCCTGCAGCCCGCGGATGCGCGCGACGTCGCGCGAGTTGACAATGTCGAGCAGCTTCTTTTTGCGCGGGGTCATGGCGGCCATGGTCATGGCCCGGCTGCGGGACTCGTCGTCTGCGTCGGCGCCGTCACCGTCGCCGTGGGGGCTGGAGGAGCCGGGGCCGCTGGACAGGGACGTCTTGGCTGCCTTCCGGCCGGACAGACCGCGGCCCGAGAGGCTGCCAGAGCGGCTGCCCGTCAGGCCCGCACGGCGGCGGGGCGAGGGCGAGTAGTAGTAGACGGACTTTTCGGGGGCGCTGGCGTAGTTGAGGGCCGGGACCGGGGCCGGCAGGTCGTCGTCGTCCTCTTCCGCGTCGGCGTCGGCGTCAGCGTCAGCGTCGCCCTCGTGGTCCACGTCGTGTTCGCCCGCCACATCGACATCGACCGTGGCGGGAATATCGCTCGCGGAGGCCGCGCGGGCGCCCATGCGACCAATGCGCCGGAACGTGGGCGTCGTCGGGGTCGTGAGGACGGTCGAGGCAGCCGTCACGGCCCGCTTGCGCTTGTGCGGTTGTTGTTGGTCGAATTGCTGCTGCTGCTGCTGCCGAGCCATCTTGCGCGGCGAGCTCGACTCCCGGCGGGCCATCTTGGCCTGGAGCTTGGCAATCTTGGACAGCAGCTTGGCCTGGCCCGGGAAGTAGGGCAGGGCCTGCTCGTAGTAGTGCAGCGCGACGGCGTCGTCGCCGACTTCCTTGTGCTGGCGGGCGAGCAGCAGGAAGCGAAGCCCTTCGGTGCGGGGGTCGTCTTCGCTGCGCGCCGCCGCCGCATTGCTGTCCTCGATGCGGCGCTCGAGGGCCTCGAGGCGTTTCTGGACCGCTTCGCTGCTCAGCAGGTCGCCACTCTGCGCGCTGCCGGCCGTGGCGGCCAACATGCCGGCAGCCAAGGTCATCGTGTTGGTGTTGTTGTTGGCCATCTCCTGTCGTAGCTGCTGCTGCTGCTGCTCTTCTTGGTCGCGCGCGGCCAAGGCCTCGGCCACCTTGCGCTCGATAATGGCCTCGATCTGCTCGGCCGAAAACATGGGCGTCGATGCCGAAACGGCGGCCGGTGGCGGTGCGGGTCGCGCAAGGTTGGATGCCGAGTAGGGGTGGATCGACGGCCGTGCCAACTTCGAGGTGCGGGTGTCTGCCGTTCTGGACTCGGCGGCCTCTGACGGCCGCGCCTTGGCGGCACCAATCTTGGACGTTGCGAGAGACGGGCGCCCGCTCGACAGGCTGGAGAGAGGCCCCATGCGGGACGACACGGAGGAGAGGGACGACGCCGTGTTGGATGTGGGCAGACTGGGTCGTGTTGCGGATGGTGTGGCTGTCGACGACGGGGGAGGCGGCGGTTTCGCTACAGCGTGGTCAGTATACACCATAAACGCTTTCGCAGGCTTGTCGGCCGCGGCCCGGGCGGCCGCATTGCCCGTCTGGATGTTGTGCGTGTTGCTCGTCAACGCACGCAGCGGTTGACGGGCCAGGCCAGACCCACTTGTTGAAGACGAAACAGAGGACGCCGCCGTGGACGCCGCCGAGGAGACAAGCGACATGGTGGAGCTGGCGGCGCTGCCGGTGAGAGACGACGGCGTGGTAGAGGACGACGCGGCCAGGGAGCGCGGCAGCTGCTTGAAGACGACCTCGTTCTCAATCTCGCGGACCTCGATGCGCTTGGCGCGCGAGCTGACGGTCAGGCTGCTCAGGGTGTCGAGGTGGTAGCTGCGGACGGGGGCCAGGTTCAGGATCATGACGGTGATGCCGTTGTTCTGGCCCAGCGACAGGATGCGCGTCATCTTGGACTCGCGGTAGGGGATGCGCTTCTCGCCGCGGGCAATGGCGTCGACGCACTGGCTCAGCACAAACAGGCTCTTGTTGATGGCGGCCGACTCGACCAGGCGCTCGCGGCCGTTGTCGGTGCGGCGGTTGTCCTCGGAGCCGGCCAGGTCAATGGCGGACGCGGTGCTCTCGCGGACGGCCACGACGGCGCCGGAGCCGTCGTCGGAGCGCGTCGTCTGGGTCAGCTTGACGCGCAGGATGGCGTGGCTGCGCGAGCTGTGGGCATTGAGCTTGGTCGCGGCGGTGACGCGGTTCTGGTTGGCGGCAATGTAGAGGCGCTCAAAGTCGCGCAGGTCGCCGCAGCGCTGCTCGGACAGGCCCACGACGTACGTCTTGTTGTCCTTTTCGCGCAGCGGCAGCCCCGTCGGCGTGCGCTTCTCGGGCGGCTCCAGCAGGTCGTAGACCTTGTCGTTGTAGATTTCGTAGTACGACAGCGCCACGTCGACGTCGACCAGCCCGTCCGAGTCCTTGGCAAGCTTCTTGCCCCGGCGGAACACGTGGCTCAGAATGCGCGGGATGACGCCGCGGTCGGCCAGCTTCATGCCGCCGCGCATGGTGTGCGTCTTGCCGGTGCCGGTGACGCCGTATGCGAACAGGGTGATGTCGAGGCCCTGGAAGAGCGACTTGATGTGAGGAGCGACTGGTGGTGAGGTCAGTGGATGGGCGGAAGAGGAGATTATGAAAAAGAAAACCCCCAAAAAAGGAGTTGCACCAAAAGAACACACCCTCTTCGTTAAACAGCTCCTCTTGCGTGGTGGCCTGGTCGTAGACGCCGTTAAAGGTAAAGGCAAACTCCTCGGCCTCGTTCTTGGGACTCGGAATCTTGACGACATTGGGCGGGCGGCCGTCTTCGGTGCTGTCGACGCGGACAATGACGTCCTTGTCCAGCTCCTTGGGCAGCAACGGCCGCACCCGTGCAACCACGCGGACCGACATGTGTAGATGGAGGAAGCTAAAGACAAGTCGAAAGGGGGAGGTCGGGTCGTAGGTCGAACGAGGTCGAAAAAGAATCGAAAGCAAAACAATCAACGTCGCGATGCCATCCAATGCACGCTCGATTGCAGGGTATATCGCTAAACGACAACACACAAACAGAACATAAAAAACATGAAAGAAAAAACCCAAACGTCAATGGCTGCCGCGGCCCACTCCGGTCTTGTCGAGTCGGTCTGCCGAGTGCAGGTCTGAATCATGAAGATGCGGGAAGTGTTCTTTTTGGGTGTGCTATTTCTCGCCATCCAAATACGGTCCGTCCTGTCCTCAGTGCCTCCTTTGCTCCTTCCTCCGGCACTGTGCGTGGTGAGCGTGTAAAACCACCCCCTGGGAAGGGACGATGGCGCGTCGACCGTGTTTGGGCGGGTCTGGTTGCCAGCAGCAACGGCAGGTGAACGGAGCGAAACTCAAATGAGAGTGGGCCAGGGCAGCTCGACAGCCCAACACGGTTTAGCGCATAATCCTCGACGGGAAAGCTTGGAAGCTGGTCAACCAATTAAGCAATGGGCAAAATTCACGATTTCTCCCGACGACATCGACGACGACATCGACAACGACACCGCCCGTTGGCCATCGACAAATATCGCGACAGTCCTTCTCTGTGTCGCTCACACTCGTTTATATCGTGTACACAATGCGCGGCGCCTCGCTGCGGCCGCCAATGGGCGTCCTGCGGTCACGGGCAGCGACGTCTCCTGCATCACACTCCATCTGCCGGCAATGCATCGTCAGCACCGTCGGCACCGTCGCCAGCCGGCGGACCATCCAGATCAGCTCGACACCGGCGACCGAGTTCCCGCGGCCGACGAGCGGCGATGCGTTTTCTGGTAGCGACAATGACGGCCACGGCGGTCACGGTGGTCCGGGCGGCCGGGACGCGGCGGACGCGCGCTTCGAGGTGCTGGGATCGCCGTACTCGCTGCTGTCGGTGTCGCTGTCGGCGTCCCAGAACCTGTACACGCGGCGCGGCACGCTGGTGTCGGTCGCCGGCAAGCTGGACAATGCGCAGTCCACGCTGTCGGTGCTGGCCCCCGTCCGGCGCGCGCTGCTCGGCATCCCCTTCCTCTACCAGCGCATCTCGTCGACGACGCCGCTGACGCTGCTGATTGGCACCAAGGCGGCCACCACGACCCTCTTCACGCTGCACCTCGACGGCACGACCGACTGGGTCGTCGCGCAGCGCAATGCCCTGCTGGCGTGGACGGGCCACACGCTGCAGGTGACGCCGCAGCGCGGCGCGGGCACGGCGCGCCTCGGCCTCGCGCACTGGGGCACGTCCTTTGTGACGGGCCGTGGCCTCGTGGCGCTGTCGGCGCCGGGCTACATCTACCCGGTGACGCTGGGCGCGGGCGAGGAGCTCGCGGTGCACCCGAGCCACGTGGTGGCGTACGCGGTCGGCAAGCAGGGCGCCCCCCAGCCGTTCCGGCTGCGGTCGGCGCAGGGCGTGCTGGCGGGCGCGGCGGCGTCGGCGGCATCGGCGGTGTCGTCGGCGGCGGCCTCGACGGCCCAGATCACCTCGAGGGCCGTGCGCGGCCTGCGGTTCCAGGTGCCACGGGCGACGTCGCCCCCAGGGACAGCAACAGATGTCGCCACCGCGACTGACAACGGCATTGCGGCGCGTCTCGGCCGCTTCTGGTCGGTCATGCAGACGACGACGACGTACCGGTTCGTGGCGGGCGCCCTCTTTGACGCGCGCACGGTGCTGCGCCGCACGATCTGGGGCGACCGGCTGTTTGTGCACGTCCGCGGGCCGGCCACGCTGCTGCTGTCGAGCCGCGGCGTGCGCGTGGGCGAGGTGCTGACGCGCGACAACGTCAACGAGATTGCCGACGCGGACGCCGGGGTGGTGGCCGAGGCCGTCGACAAGGCGACGAAGCCAGCGGGCGAGCGTGCGGAGGCGGGCACGGCCACGTCCACAGACGCGTCGACGACGGCCATCCACGTGGCCGAGGTCACGGCCAGCGGCAAGGTGACGTTTACCGACGCCAAGGACTTGAAGGAGTTTGTCCGTTGACGTGGGGGGGCAGGCCGGCGCGAGCAACTGACGAGTTACGAACATTAGACGGCGACGAACGCTACACTGTACATTATACGAGGCAGATGAGGGGCGTGGACTGGGGGAGACCTGCGGTGAGACCGCTGGACAGCAAGACAGCATGTCAGAGGCATCGTTCATAACCATTGCCATACTATTTCATTTTGTTAGAACATTCTGCAACATACAAGCATCAATGCAAACCACGTGCGTGTGGCCATCTGAGAGGACGACAGCGGAGTACGGAGTCAAATCTGTTCTCCAGCCAGGAACGCTTCAGCACAGCCACGAACAGCACAGCGCATGCCGTACAGAATAAGGAACACAGCCCTACCCGCCATCTCTGCCAAGCAACTGTGAGAGAGTCCACGCGCTGACAGCAATTGTCAGTCTTTTTTACGAGCCCGCCATGGCAGCACTCTGCGTGCGATTAGGACGACGGATCGTGTGTCGACAAGGATTCGTGAACATACACTCATGCAAAAGGTGCTGACAAGCACGGCATACGATGTGCCTTGTACGATGTGTACGATGTGTACAAAGTGTGTCGCGTAGAATTTGCAGCGGTGCCACACCGTATTGCACGGTAGGCTGAACCAGCCGTGCCTGCGTCCCGCCGTTTCATCCCGACTCCCCTAATTCCTTAATCCCCTAAATCCCAATCCCCGTCAGCATCCCCACACCTCGGCCCTTCGCGCTTTCAACTTGACATTGGGCTGGCGGCAGGCACAGGCTCGCCTTTCGGAGATGGACTTGTCTGGCATTTCCCTTTTCAGGTCTGACAATGTATTCCCCAGTCACTTCAAGAGAGTCGTCCGCGCGCACGGCGGACGACTTGACTGCGGGAGCCTTGCAGAGGTAGGAGTCTGGCGTCCTGTGCCTTTTTTTTTTTGTTGTGTGTCTTTTTGTCCTTTCTTTTCTGTGTTTTTCTTGCTCTTTAATATCGACTTTCCTCTGTCGCCATTATTGGGTCGCAATCTACATGAGCCACGCCTCATACATTCGTACTGTCTGCTTTGTCACAATTGGGGGTGATTGTTTCTCCTCGCGTTTTTCACGAGCCAATCCCCATTCACCCTTCCGTACGGCCCCCAGGCTATCTCGATGCCTCCATATCTTTCTTGATTTCTCGCCGAACTCGTCCACCTCGGAGATACGGTCGCACTACCCACAGCCCAGAAAAACTTGTCCCGTCTGGGCACCACAAAACAAGCAGCGGACGGGGTGCGGCGCTTAGCTCGTGCCGCCTTCTCTTGTCTCTTTGCCGTATCCACTGTCCTGCGCGATGTGCAACACACGGGGTTAAATGGTCGTTGCTGTCCCACGACACACGATGCGCAATGTCCGTCTTAGCTCGCCAGCCTCGTGCTGGTCACTCTTTCAACGTGCATTGTCTGACTCATGGGTGAGCTGGCCGGTATGAATCTTACTTCTTACGCTGCAGATCCTACGGAATCGTCTCGCTTGTGCAGATATACATCGTAGCGTTCCCCAGCAGCCCGGGTCAGCATGCTTCGCGCCCCGTCGTGCCCGGGGCGCGAAATGTTTATTCGACTCGACAAGAGATACTGTGCAATGTTCTTGTGTCGTCTGCATGTATGATGCCATAAGCCCATCGCTGTCCTGCCCGCGGACCCTGGGCCTGGATCGAGACAATCTCGGACGAAGCCCGTCCCTCGTCCGCGGCCCTTTTGTTCGTCATGTTCAGGTACACAGTATTGTGCCACAGCTGCCGGCCATCATGTCTGTTTCCGTCGTATTCCATCGTTCGTCTCAGACGTCGTCTCCTCCGAGCCTCGATCTGGATGCCCGGAGAATTCTTGGTCTGGTCTGGAGCATGGGCGATTTGCTCTCTCCTGACAAATGTTCGCACGATCTCTCTGAGATGAGATCAACACGCTCTCTCGTGCCCCGGCAAGGCTTGCCAAGGCCAAGCCCAGCACGGCATGGCGTGCTATGGCCTGCGTTTAGGTTTCGAGGGGGTAAGCCAGTCGCTTCGTTCGCGTCTTTCGTTCTTGTTTCCGAGTCTGTTTCTGCCATGCACCGTTTCTTATTTGACTAATTCCCCGTTTTTTTTTATTTCTTTTTTTGTTATTCTTCTCCACCTGGTATTCCTGCCAACGTTTTTCTGCTACATGCTGACCCGTGCTTAAACTGGTCATTTCCTATTTCATGGATATATCATTGTCCTCCTCCCCCCGGCCATTGGCATGATGACGTTTGTATCTTATCATCTGTACATTCACACAGAATAACACGTTCCCTTGTCTTTTTTTTTTCTTTCTTTTCTTTTTTTTCCCTTCTTTGTATTTGTTTTCGTTCACAGTCTCTGCTCTCCCCAGCTACAATAAGCGAGTTGTCCCCCCCACCAATTGCGGCAACATTGCCCCGAGTAAATAAAGACACGCTCCGCCCTCAACGTAGTCCGGTCGGTCGCCATCGCCATTTGACTAGGATTTTGTATTCCGTCAGCTTACCGCGCAGCTCGACAAGAACTCCACCAACATGTCCGCAACCCCGGCGCACGGCCAGACGGCCAACGCCGCACCCTACACCGACGCTTCGCGCCATTCCCTCGACCGCATCCCCTCCCAGAACAAGGAGACCGACGCCAACCTCTACCCCGAGCCCGCAAACGCCGTCGAGGCCGACCTGGAAAAGGGCGGCTACGGCCCCGACGAGTCGGACGGGTCGAGCAAGGAGCAGAAGGAGGCCGGCGCCGCACCCACGGATGGCACACCGGCAGACGCCGCCGCTGCGCCGCCCGCACCGCCTGCTGCGCCGCCCGGCATGAGCCCGGCCGACTTCCCCGACGGCGGCCTGCAGGCCTGGAGCGTCGTCTTCGGCGGCTGGTGTGGCCTCTTCTGCACCTTTGGCCTCATCAACTGCATCGGCGTCTTCGAGACCTACTACGTCAACGGGCCGCTGTCCCACTACTCCCAGGGCACCATCAGCTGGATCCTGTCGCTCGAGACCTTCGTCATGACCTTTGGCGGCCTCGTCTTCGGCCGCCTCTTTGACAGCTACGGCCCGCGCTGGCTGCTGATCCTCGGCACCGTCGTCTACGTCTTCGGCCTCATGATGACCAGCCTGGCCACCGAGTACTACCAGTTCCTGCTCGCCCAGGGCGTCTGCGCCGCCATCGGCTCGTCCGCCGTCTTCAACGCCTGCATGGCCTCGGTCGTCTCCTGGTTCTTCCGCCGCCGCGCCGCCGCGTTCGGCATCATGGTCTCCGGCTCGTCGCTCGGCGGCGTCGTCCTGCCCATCATGCTCGACAAGCTCATCGTCCGCGTCGGCTTCCCCTGGGCCGTGCGCGCCGTCGCCTTCTTGTTCCTGGGCCTGCTGGGCATCGCCTGCCTCACCGTGCGCTCGCGCCTGCCGCCGCGGCCCAAGCCCCTCGTCGTCCGCGAGTACCTTGGCGGCTTCCGCGAGCCCGTCTACGTCCTCACCGTCGTCGCCTGCTTCCTCTTCTTCTGGGGCATGTTTTTGCCCTTCAACTACATTGAGCTGCAGGCCAAGGCCTCCGGCATGAGCCCCACCCTGCTGCCCTACCTGCTGTCCATCATCAACGCCGTCAGCATCGTCGGCCGCATCGCCCCCGGCATCGTCGCCGACCGCCTCGGCCGCTACAACGTCATGATTGCCATCACCGCCTTGTCGGCCATCATCTCCCTTGCCCTCTGGATCCCCGGCAGCAAGTCCACCGGCGCCATCGTCGCCTACGCCGTCCTCTTTGGCTTCTCCTCCGGCGGCTTCATCTCCCTCGGCCCCACCCTCATCGCCCAGATCTCCGACATCCGCCAGATTGGCATCCGCACCGGCACCGCCTTTGCCGTCCAGAGCTTCGGCGCCCTCACCGGCTCGCCCATTGCCGGCGCCATCACCACGCACCAGAACGGCAGCTTCACCGGCCTGCAGTACTTTTGCGGCTTCACCATGCTGGCCAGCGTCTTTGTCTTCGTCGTCGCCCGCGTCACCCTGGCCGGGCCCAGCCTCATGAAGAAGGTGTAAACCGTGGCGTCGTTTGGTCGTCTGTCTTTTTCTCCTTTTTTCCTTTTTTGGTATTATGGAAAATGGCAGTTCCTGGCATCTGCGCTGTATTTTTGTCATTGGCTTGCCGTACTGTCTCATCTAGACGTGGACGTCTGGTCTTTTCGATCTAATGTTGCTCGAACTCTTTAGAATACCCCCCTTTCATATGGTAATATAAAATCTCTCCTTTCTGTTAACCTCGTTCACCTCGTCGCGTGACTCGTTCTTCTATCTTGTTCGAGAGTGGTCTTGAGTGTAAACCCGACAGTTCGTGTGTCGCCTCTGGCTTCATACCTGGTCTAACAAAACGTTGGAAACGTTTTATTAGACATGGTGTTATTATTTATTACGTATTTATTTATTTTATTTTCGGTCATTCGGGTTGCGTTTTCAGGTTTTTTTTTTTTTTAAAGCCTCAAAACCTTTCTAAATCAAACGATGAGCACTATAAAAAAATTGCAAAAATACATGCATCTTCAAAAACCATTTTGCATGTTTCAGAACGCTTTCAATCAAAGAAGCCAGTCTTTTACACTCAGAAATGTTCCTAAAATACACACCACCATGCTACATTTACAGATGCCAGTCACAGAATAAAGGATTCCCTAGTCCTAAAAAGGACACACTTGCTCAAGGTTGTGGCCATGCGTCCTGCATTCTATCCGGCCTTTGATCAACGTTCTTTTTGAAGTCATAACGAATTTACTCTGGTCCTTCCTGTCCACAACACTCGAACTTTGATGCGGAGGAGTGTAGAAGAGAAGGGTGAAAAGAACCACCCTAAAAAGACGCCCAGAAATCGTTTCAAAGTAGAGTTGTCAGCTCGAATTATAATTATACTTGGTAAAGAGAAACGAGAAAAAAGAGGAAAAAAGGGAGGACAGACAAAACCACTCCGCTGAACAAGCCAATCAACGGCAGTACAAGAAGCCCTTGGCAGGACAAGCCCTGTCGCCCCCCCATGATTCTTCAACGCCTCAAAGAGTTTCTATTCGCAGACACAGGCTGGCCAAAGCTGGTGCTTCCTCCCATAGCTCCCAACCTTGCATTCTTAGTGGACAAGGCGCCGGGCCAGGTCTGTAAAAAGTACAATGGTACGCACCGGAGGCACCCTGGAGCCTTGATGGAAAAGGAGGCTCGGAGGATAAGACATTAAAATTTTGTTATCCACATTTATTGTTTACGATGCGAGTGGTTTTTTTTTCCTCCCTCTTTCTTTTCTTCTTCATTTTTTTCCTTCTTTGGTCGTTCGTCTTCAACTCGCCGTCTTCTTTGGCCAGCCGAATCGTTCTTTGTAAAACTTCCCTATTTCCATGATTGACAGTTCATCGTCAATCGTATTTACGTTTTATTTCTTTTCTTTTCTTCTCCTTCGCTGAATTGCTGGTCGCTTATCTTATCGCTCGGCAGTATCATTCGTAGGCAGAAGAGGCTGTAATGCGGAGTATTCCGTAATGCGGCAAACCCAAAACTCGAGACAGGAGACATTACGTCGTGTCGCATGTTCTGGTTGATTGAAAAAAAAAAGAAATGAAAAATACAAAGAAAAGAAAAGAAAAAACAAATAAAAAACATATCAATGGTTATTTTTTTTGAATGAAAGGCTGCCTGGTCCGACCAACGTTGAGGATGTTCCTGCAAGTAATACTGAGAAACAAGAAATAGAGAAAAATTGGAACGAGGCGAGACATGCAGCCGGAAAAACAATTCATTGAAAAGAAAATAATAAAATCACGCCCCTAAAAACCCAGACAAACCAAATACCGCCAGTACTGACAAAAGAAGAAAGAGCGACTCCCTGCCCGCCTCCTCCACCGGACAGCTCCCCTCTCTTGCCTTTTTGTTCGTTTTCTTGCTTTTCTTCCTTCTCTTTCCTGGGCACCTGCTTTTTGGGCGTGTTTCTATCGCGCGCCACGCTGTCTTGCTGTATTCAGCAGTTAATTTTAATCCACCTCCCCCATAGCACTTGCCTCTTTTTTCGTCTTTCGTCTTTCGTTTTTCGTGTTTTTTCTTTTCTTTTTTTTGGTCCCTCTTTCTTCTGTTGCTCTTTCCTTCTTTCCCGAATTTGCTTGCCCTCTTATCCCTCTTTCTCTTCCTCTGTTTTCTTCTAAACTTCATCTCTCCCTCCTCTTCTCCTCTTTTCTTCTCTCGCTTTCATTTTCTTTTCTTCGCCCATTCTCTGTCTTATCCACCCCCGCTTTATCGAAAGCGTTCCCACCCGTCCTTTATTCTATTCTTTTTTTCTTTCGCTTCTCGTCTCGTTTTCACCCTTGTCTGTCTTTCCTCTCCTTTCAACTCTCCCTGACTCTCACCGGTGCCGCGACACTTTTCCTCAAGTCTTCTCTTTCATCTCGACGTGCAACGCATCCCGCCTCCGAAAATAACAATTCGACGACTTTAGTTCTCTTTCGCTTCTGCGATCTGCGGTCTGCGTTTCTTTTCGGAATCCTTTTGTGGCTTGCATCGCGCGAGAGTCAACTGTCCTTTTCGACGTTTCATTAGCACGACCACTCTTTCTTATCGATCGTGCCGTCGCCACGTCTCTGCCGCCCTTCTCTCTCCTTTCGTCTCTTTCATCGACCCATTAACTTGGCATCACCTGCGCTGCCTTTCGGACCTCTTTGCCCTCTCGACTTCTATTTGCATCGCCGCAATCACTGCCCCGACCGCGTCCCGCGTCACAGTACCTAGCTACGCTCTTTACTCTTTTACTCTTCCCAGCAACCTTTGATTTCCACCCGACATCGGCTTCCTTCTTTTCTTTTATCCCACCTCGCCTCCTTTTGTCTCATCCCTTCTTTCTTCTGTTCCCTCCCCAAGTTCGTCCGCCTCCTACTATATAAAATGGCGCCCCGCGGACGCCCGCCTGGCCGCAAGAACGGCGGCAGCCACGGAGCTGTCCAGCTGCAATCGAACCGCAAATCTACGCCCGCGTCTACACCAAAAGCTGCATCAAAGGCTGCCACCACGCCTGCCACTGCGCCGACCAAGAAAACGACGACTGCCTTGGCAACATCCACCAACGCTACACCCGCTGCAGCGACACCACAAGCTGCCACTCCGCAAGCCACGCCGCTGGGACGAAAATCCGCAGCAAAGAAAGGCAAGCTCGCCCGGCCGGCCAAGGGTACACCTCGGTCCATGAACACAACGCCTGCATCAGCTGCTGCAGCGGCAGAAGCTGCAGCGTCTGCCACTGCCGCTCCTGCTGCCGTCCCTACTGATACGCCCGCCACACCTGCGACGCCCGCTGCACCTGCTGAGATCCGTGTCGCGCCAATTTCCGAAATCTTGGCCACTGAGCACATCCCTGAGCCGACCGAGCCGGCCACCGAGCGGGACGTCGTTTCTATAGTAAGTTGTTTCCGAGTGTCTCGAGCTGGTTGAGCGTGCATTGATTGCGCCTAGTGTACCGTCTTATTCTGGAGGCGCGTTTGCTTAGCGCCTGTCCGTTTGCTGCCCTAATTTTCAAGCTCCCCTCCCTGTTGCGCAGGGCACTGCGTGAGGTCGTCTGACGCGGAACTAACACCCTCTTCAGGACTCCACTGCAGACAAACAGCCGAACGGCACGTCGCACGCCGCCGAGCAGTCCGTCCTGCCGGACGAGAGCCGAATTGATGACAACGACAAAGAGACCTCCGTCGTAGCCGACGACCCGCCGACAACAACCACGCCCGCCGTCCGCCGCGCCCGTGGCCGGCCGCCAAACAGCTCCCGCGTTGGCAAGCATGGACCCCTGGGCTACACTTCGGCGAATGTGGATCTGGACGCGATCACCTACCGCCAGCTCTCCGAGGACATCAAGGCGTACGAGGTCGACCTCGACTTTTGCCAGGCCCAGCTCGACCAGCCCGACCTCACACCGCAGGAGTCCCGCACACTGCAACTCCGTCGACTGGACCTCAGCCATCAGGTCCGGCACTGCCGGCATCGCCAGGAAACGCTCGAGGCGCAGCGGGCGCTCCACGGCGGCCGTCCGCTGACCGACCCGGTCCCCCATGCCCCGCGGGTGTCGACGGCGGGCACCGGCACCCTGCTAACAAACGGCAGTGGCCGGCGGCCTGTCCCCAACAAGCGGCCCCTGTCGGTGACGGGCTTCGACAACAGTGATGTTGGTATTGGAGCCGGCGGTCCCTCCAAGCGGGCGCGCGCGGCGTCCGAGGTCAGCCTGCAGGACACGATCAGTATGCGCAGCAGCGGCAGCCCTGTTCCTGCTGTCAACGGCATTGGCCATGGCCAGGAGAGCAATGGCGGAGACCACGACGACAACCAGTCCGACGTGGAGATGGTGGCGCACTACACCGGCGGTCACAATCGCGGCCGCAGCCACAGCAGCATCGGCAGCCACAACGACAGCTACCTCGGCAAGGCGGAGGTCGATGACAGCGCCGCCATGGCCGAGAAGGGCGCATCCGACGGCAACGGCTTCTGGAAGTGCCGGCTCTGCGTCTCGGCAAAGTACCAGGATGCCAAGAAACACCTGCGCCAGCCGGCCAATCCGTCGTTGTGGCCCCTCCGGCGCACGGGCCGGCTCATGACCCACTGCCTGGCCATGCACGTGGAGCACACGCCGGAAGAGCGCTGCATGGAGCTCGGCGACGCGCTCGACCACAACCGCGGGCCCTTTGAGTACTGGACACGCCAGAAAAACGTGGACGTGTCGATTCCCAACGTGATTGCGATGCTAAAGTCGGGCAGCTTCCCGGACAAGCTGGCGAAGCACAACGAGGGTGCAGCCAAATTCTTGGCGGAGAGGAAATCGTTGGGCGCGATCGCCTGAGGGGGTTTCGGTGGGCTGTCGGCTCCCCCCGTCTCTTGGTTTTCGTTTTTTTTTTTTCGTACAATTTCTTTTGCTTGTTTTGCTGTCATCATCAGCATAGCCCACGGGACGACAAGAAGAAGGACGGTGAAGGGTTGCACAGGCGTAGCTGTTGGCTGCAACCAGGACCAAGGAGATGCGACATAACGTGAGGCTGGGAGTTACTAATGCATGGCGTTTGTGTGGGATTTCTTATGCTGTTTCTGCTTTTTGGCTCATTTTCTTCTTGATCTTTTCGTTGCTGTAAAGGGACGTTCATCTTATCTTTTCTCTTTTCGTCTTCTCTTTTTGTAAATAGAGGAGTGTGCAAATAAGGGACAAGATCCCGACAACGAATAAAATAAAGAATCTATAACATGAAAAACGAGGTTAATATTGTAGTAAGAATCGAAGGAAAAGCCGTTGGCAGGGGGGTGACGAGGATGGAGAGTTTGCGAATAAGATATGGGTCGTGAGTTGTATGGCACTGTGCTGAAGGAACTGCTCAATAGGCTCTGTACAGTGGCCGGCATTACTCTCCAGCGGCTCAACACGACTGACTGAGAGGGCTGCGCGGCACGGCAATGCACACGACACAACGCACATCTGCATGATGCACGATTTGGGGCAATGCCGATTTCGGGATTTCGGGGCTGCCGCTACACAGCCATGGAGGGTGTGCTGTGGGGGTAACATGAGGGACAACGAGCGGACAGGTGCCGGCTGCAGAATGCCAAGCAATGGCCTTGATCGGATACGATGTTAACGGTGCTGTACACTGTACGCCGCACGATGCGAAGAAACGGCTACGAAATGGATGTTTTCTGCCTTTCTCTTTGGCCGTCGTGCCCAAGGATCCGCTTATGGCCTTCCTCTGCTGTAGTGACATCGGGAACCGCGACGGTTGAATTGCCATGGAAGCACACCATGGGCAACCTTGTCTGCTGGTGTGCCTACCGGCGGTCCTCTGTACCCTCGCATCGGTGGCTTCTCTTCTTTTGTTTTTGTTTTTGTCTTTCGTCTTTTTTTGTCTTTTTTTCATCTTGTCTTTGCTACCCCCTTGCGCTGTCTTGCTTGTCGGCATATCCTGTTGGCCAACGCGGAGATGATAGAGGACGATCGGCACAAGACGTCGCACTGGACCACAGGTACCTTAGTACCTTGCCTGCACATTCAGGCACCACCGCAGGGCCAGGTAGCAGACATGAGATGTGACCTGGAACATGTACAACATACTCTCTATTCTGTAGAGCGAGATTAGACAGGAACAGGACGGGCATCATTGGATGTCTGCCTCACGCTTTATGATTGGCACCGTCTTTTGTCTCTGTCCTATCCCGGTCTCTTCTATCTCCTCACTTTTTCCGCACGAGACACCAACAACCAGAGACCATCTGGTCCGCATCCTGCACCCGAAAGTGCCGTCTTCGTCTCTGCAAAGCGTCTTTCTCACAACGCTGGCCAAGCCGCATTCCTCTTCCATTTCCTTCTTCGGCAGCTGCTTTTTACTTTTGGCCTTGTTTGACGCAATCGCACCCTGCCGTCGCCATCCCCATAACCTCTTTCTCTCTTCATCCTAGCGCCGGCCCTCTCGCACGGGCCACACCACCTCTTCACCAAAACCCCTGAGGCGCCGATGCGATCGGCATTGCTTCTTGTGGGGAGTCACAAGGAACAAAGGCCGTGGCCTTGCAGCCAACAACATCGTCCGCAGTCGTGGGACCAGCCGACGCGTTTCTTGTTTCGTTTCTTTCCCTTTTTCTTGTTCCCCGTCTGCATTTTCGACTTTGACCTGCCTCAATTGACTACTCACTTACTCGCTGGTTCTAGGAGGGTATTTCGTACAGCGAGCCTGGCCACTACGGAATAGGCGGCATTTGCATCCCCGTCCTTGGTTGTCCGTAGCGTCGCACTTGCCTTGCCGGGGCTTGTTCTCTTACATGCCTAATCGGGCAACTCCAAAGCTCGGCATGTTCCTTCCCTCGTTGTACGAAGTAGCTGCCCTCATGGCCTCGTGCCTGGCACCTTCCTCTTCATGCCGCCTTCTCCTTCTTTCCTGTTATGACCGATCCTGGACGATATGTGCAGCAGACATTTCCGCTCTTTTTGGCCTCTCTCCTCTCCTCCTGTCTGCATCCTCTCCTTTTTTAATCTCTCGCCACCATGTTTCGTTTCATGCACCCTCCACATCACACCCGCCATTTCCACAACTTGCCAGCCCATGGTTTGTCCTCGCCATGAGGGCATTTTTACACCCGTCTGATCCTGACTGTGACCCAGATCCCCTGCCTATAACGCACCGATGTTTACTCAATGGCGTCTCTGCTCACATTTTTCTCGTTTTCTTACCACATCATTTCATGTCGTTTAGTCATATCGTCATTTATCATTCTACCATTTCACCATTCTCTCATTCCATCATTCTATCGTCCTATCATCCTAGCATCCCCGCTTCCGTTGACTTTGACTTTCAACTCACCTTCCCTTCTGTCACAAGGACGACTCCACTTTGGCCTGGACGGCCTCCCTTGTCACTGCCGATCTCTTTTCTGCCGAGATACGACAACAGCGCCCAGATGTGCGAATGCTCTGAACGGACATACATCCTATGCTGATATGCAATGGCGTTCTGTGAGGTGCCCACTCCTTTCCTTCGACGCCCAGCTGACCCCATCGCGGCTTTGAGCGTCCGGCCAGATCCAGAAAGCTTGTCCGTTCTTGGCAGGACCTTGTCGTTCTCGCCCTGCTAAGCTTTCTTCGCTCTGCCAAGGTGTGTTTTATTTCATATTGCGCTGCCGTGTCCCGGTAAACAAGGCTATTTGGGCCCAGCAATGACGACAGCCGGGCAGCCAGGAGGCTCAGCAAGGAAGGGCTGGATGCCCAGCGCGACGGGCACGGCTTGATATGAAAAAGGAAGGCAAGCCGAGTGGGAAAACTGGCAAGAAAATGGCAGAAACGCGAAAAGCCTCCGATTTGTGCCTCGCACTGCGTGCCCACAGCCTGCTGCGCACACGGGTCACTGTTTCTTCCGAGTCGTCTCCATTGCGGCACAACTGCACAGAGTATGACAAGTACGACAAGTGTGCCAATGCCGTGCCACGATAGGTGTTGGGAGATCGCCATCCCTCGCTGCCCCCATCGTTCTGTCTATAAAATACCTCCTAGAAAAACGGGTAGCTCCACCTCCTCGTTTCTGTGCGGAGCACTGCTGCTTGCCCGTCTCGCCGTCTTTGCAGCTTTGGATGGCGAAGCAAATTAAACACCTCGCGAATCACCCACACTCACGCAGTTCGTGCCTGTCCATCCCTGCAACCCATCCGCCCTTCCTCCCTCCTGTGGGGTGACCCTCTTTCTTGGCGCACACGATCTTGTGTACCACACGACCACAGGAGTACAGAGATATATAAACACCGGGCCGTGTCCACCCAACGGCGTGTCTTTCCCTGTCTCCGTCCGCTTTGCCTACCATCTTCGTTTCCTCTCCACGCCTCTCCACCTTTCTCCACCCTTCTCCCTTTCCTCTTCGTCCTCTACTTTCCCTCTCGTCGCCCATCATGGCTTGCAGCACCCTACGGTCTGGGATGGCCACTCTGGCTGCCATTGCCACGACGGTGATGCTCTTGCCCGCCACCAACGCCGCCGTCATCAGCAAGATCGACGCGGTGCCAGCAGGCTGGACAGTCGCCAGCAGCTCGGCCGCGGGCAAGACGTTCAAGACGGAGAACACCGACACCGGCGCTTCGGCTGACACGCATGTGTTCACCATTGCCCTCAACCTGCAAAACATTGACCAGCTCGAGTCCCGCCTGCTGGCCGTGTCGACGCCTGGCCACGCCAGCTACGGCCAGTTTGTGGATGTCGACGGCATCACGGCGACCTTTGGCCCCTCGGCCGACGCCGTGTCGGCCGTGACCAGCTGGCTCGAGTCGAGCGGCGTGGTCAAGAGCTACGTCGTGCGGGACGGCTACGTGGATCTCGCGACGGACGTGGCTGGTGCCAACAAGCTGTTTGGCGCCGACTACCAGTACTACACGCCGCCCTCCACCGCGTCGACGACGGCGGCGGCCACCTCGACGAAGCTGCGCACGCTGTCGTACTCGGTGCCCGACGACATTGCCGCGCACGTCGCGCTTGTCGACCCGGGCAACTACTTTGGCGGCGCGCGGCCGTTTGCGCCGCGTCTGGGCGACATGCAGTTTGGCGAGCGCGCGGTGGCCACGCCGGACAAGGTCAAAAATCCCAGAAAGGGCGCCACCAAGACGGCGATTGACGCCGCCTGCCAGACGTCCATTACGCCCGCCTGCCTCAAGCAGCTGTACCAGGTCGGCGACTACGCGGCGGACGCCAGCTCAGGCAGCCGCATTGGCTTCGGCAGCTTCCTGGGCCAGTCGGCCCTGTACGAGGATCTGGCCGACTATCTCAAGCTGAACGGCCTGCCCGCGCAGAACTTTTCCGTCGAGCTCATCAACAACGGCACCAACGACCAGAACCCGACCACGGCGCAGATTGGCGAGGCCGACCTCGACGCCCAGAACATTGTCGGCGTCGCCCACCCGCTGCCCGTCGTCGAGTACATCACGGGCGGCAGCCCCCCCTTTGTGCCCAACATTGACCAGCCCACGCCCGCCAACAACAGCAACGAGCCGTACCTGCCGTACTACCGCTACCTGCTCTCCAAGACCAACGCGGAGCTGCCCCAGGTCATTTCCAACTCGTACGGCGACGAGGAGGACTCCGTGCCCTACAACTACGCCGTGCACACGTGCAACCTGATTGGCCTGCTGGGCCTGCGCGGCATCACCGTCATCGAGTCGTCGGGCGACCTGGGTGTCGGCGCCGGCTGTCTGGCGCCGGACTACAAGACGCCCGAGTTCAACGCCATCTTCCCGGCCACGTGCCCGTACTTGACGTCGGTCGGCGGCACCGTGGACGTCACGCCTGAGATTGCCTGGGACGGCTCGTCCGGCGGCTTCAGCAGCTACTTCCCGCGCCCGGCCTGGCAGGCGCTCGCCGTCGGCGCCTACCTGGCGGAGCACGTGTCCGCGAGCACCTACGAGTACTACGGCCACTACACCAACTGGCACGGCCGCGGGTTCCCCGACGTGTCGGCGCACAGCGTCAGCCCAGACTACCAGATTGTGTACGCCGGCACGCCCGGCCCCTCGGGCGGCACCAGCGCGGCCGCGCCCGTGTGGGCGGCCATTGTGGGTCTGCTCAACGACGCGCGCCTGCGCAAGGGCCTGCCGACGCTCGGCTGGCTCAACCCGCTGCTGTACACCTTTGGTCCGCAGGTGCTGACGGACATTACGGCCGGCCAGGCCGTCGGCTGCAACGGCCAGAACACGCAGAGCGGCGGCGCCGAGCCGGCCGGTTCGGGCGTGATCCCGGGCGCCTTTTGGAACGCGACGACCGGCTGGGACCCCGTGACGGGCTATGGCACGCCCAACTTTGGCAAGCTGCTGTCGCTGGTGACGGGGTTCTAGGGGCGCTACGGGCGCTAGGTGTGCAAGCCGGTGGTCGTGGGAGCCGGGTGGAGGAAAGAGGAATCGTGATTTACAAAGAACATTGATCCATGTCCATATCCTGTCTATTTTGTTGAACCCAAATGTGCCAATGTGCAAATGTACTCCAACTCCCCATATGTCCAGTCCACATCGCCCACGTACGTCAACCTACTTGGTCTTTGGCTTCTCCGCGTCGGTAATTTCTTCGGCGCCCTCCTCGATCTCGCCGTCGTCGATGCGTGTTTCCTGGGCTGCCAGCGCTGTTAGTACTCGTTGGCTCTGCATACTGGGAAACAGGGAAGAAAGGGAAGACAGGGGCAAGAACGTACCACTCCACAACTGCGCGTAGATGCCGTTGCGGTCAATCAGCTCGCGGTGGGTGCCAGTCTCGGCGACCCGGCCGCCGTTGAGCACAATGATGAGGTCGGCGTCGTAGATGGTGCGCAGGCGGTGGGCGACAAAGACGCTGGTGCGCGCGTTGCCCCTTTCCTTGAGGATGCTGTTGATGTTCTGCATGAGGGCCTGCTCGGTGTGGGTGTCGAGGGCGCTGGTGGCCTCGTCAAAGAAGAGCAGCGGCGGGTCCTTGAGCAGCAGGCGCGCGACGGCGAGGCGCTGCTTCTCGCCGCCGGAGATCATGAGGCCGCGCTCGCCGACCTGCGTCTGGTAGCCGTCCTTCCAGCCGGCGATGATGTCGTGGATCTGCGCGCGGCGCGCGGCGGCGACGACCTGGTCGGGCGTGGCGGCGAGGTTGCCGTACCTTAAATTGTGCTCGACGGTGTCGTTGAACAGCGGCGTGTCCTGGGGCACGACGCCAATGTGGCGGCGCAGGCTGGCGAGGCGGACGGCGCGGACGTCCTGGCCGTCGATGAGAATGCGGCCGGCGTCGACGTCGTAGTAGCGGAAGAGCAGCTTCAGCAGCGTCGACTTGCCGCAGCCGCTGGGGCCGACGACGGCGACCTTTTGGCCCGCGGGGATGGTCAGCGTCAGGTCGCGTAGGATGGGGCGGTCCTTGTGGTAGCCAAAGGTGACGTTGTCGAAGCGGATCTCGCCGCCGGCGGTGGCGGCGGCCGTGGCGGGCGAGGCGGACGAGGCGGGCGCGGCGCTCTGGCCCGCGGCCAGAACCGCCTGGGCCGTCGTCGGCGCCAGCACCAAGTCTTTGGCGCCCGGCGCGTCCGTCACCGTGACATTGACGCGCTGCAGGTTGAAGAGCGTCTCCATGTCGAGCAGCGACTGCCGCAGCTCGCGGTAGACGGTGCCCAAAAAGTTGAGCGGCACCGACAGCTGGAAGACGAGCTGGTTGATCATGACCAGGTCGCCCACGGTCAGGTCGCCACCGGCAATGCCGCGCGCGCCCAGGTACATCATGGCCGTCAGGGCGGACGAGAAGATGAGGTTCTGGCCGCTGTTGAGCAGCGCCAGCGACGTGGCCACCTTGATGGAGCTCTTCTCGTACTGGCGCAGCGCCGCGTCGTAGCGCGCCACCTCAAAGGCCTCGTTGTTAAAGTACTTGACCGCCTCGTAGTTGATGAGCGAGTCCACGGCGACCGTCGACGCCTTGTTGTCGGCCGCGTTGGCCTGGCGCCGGAACTTGGTGCGCCACGCCGTCGTCGTAATGGTAAAGGCTGTGTACGCGGCCATCGTGGCCGCCGTGATGGCGGCAAACTGGTAGCCGTACTGGTACGTCAGGATGCCGCAGACCATGGTGATTTCCAGCGCCGTCGGCAGGATGTGGAAGACCATGCTGGTCAGCAAGAACGAGATGCCCTTGGTGCCGCGGTCGATGGCGCGCGTCAGCCCGCCCGTCTGCTTCGACAGGTGGAAGCTGAGGTCCAGGTGCAGCAGGTGGTCAAACACGTTGCCGGCGACCTTGCGGATCGCCTTCTGCGCCACCGACGCAAACACGGCGTTGCGCAGCTCCTGGAACAGCGTCGCGCCGATGCGCGTGGCCCCGTACGCCAGGATCATGCTGCCGGCCACCGTCGCCGCCGTCATGCCGCCCGTCGCCGTCACCGCCGACAGGTCCACGTTCATCGTGTCGACGATGCTCTTGAAGTAAAACGGCACCTGCACATTGAGCACCTTGGCGCCCACCAGTAGCGCCACGGCCAGGGCCACGCGCATCTTGGTGTCCAGGCTGCCCCGCCCCGACGGCCACAGGTACCGCGACATCTCCTTCATAATGGCCCAGTCGGCCTTGCGCTGCTCGGACGCCGACTTGTCCACGTCGGCCAGCGGGTCAGCGGCCTTGGTAGCCTGTTTTGCGCCAGCAGGTGTGGCCGGCGATGCTGCTGCTGTGGGTGAGGCGGCGGCCTTTTTAATCTCTTCCGGAGTGGGCGTGGCCGTTGCGGGCGGAGGGTGCGTCGGGGTCGCATCTCTGCGCAGGGCCGTCGCAGCCGAGAAGAAGCAGGTCGAAGGTTGTCGGAGGAGGGCATGCGAGAGCGTCGAGGGGACGCCCCGGCTCAGAAGAAGAGGAGACGTTGCGGCCGGAGCTGACGAAAGCCATGGCTGGCGGCGATACGCCTGTTGGCTGCCGGGTTGCACCTGCCGCGCCGCCGACAGCGAGAACGTAGACGCTCGGGACAGGCCGCGAGCCGCCATTTTAGCGAACACTGGAGACGGACGCTCCGGGGGGCATATCGTGGCAATCCCGAGCCGACCGAACGGAGGTCAATGGAGCGAGCGATCGGGCTGCCGTTCGAGAAGGTCTTCGAAACGGATGGAGATAAAGTCGGAGCTCGGCGAGAGGGATGTGTGGCAGATGGACAATCTGGCAATTGCTTGGGAGACGAGAGGGAATAAAGGAAGAGGAGAGAAGACAAAAGAAGAACAAAAGAAAGAGTGTCTGCAGAAGCGCAAAGGGACAAAGTGAGCATCAATGGCCGTCAGCGAGCGTGAGCGTGGGCGTGAGCTTGGCTCCTTCGCTCGTTGGCTTCCGCCGCCGTCACGGTCGACCAAGAAGAATGGTGCTGGGCCTTGACATGACGCCTGTAGCCATTGAAGCTTAGCGCGTCTGGCTTGCTAATTCGCTTGCAAAACCCGCTGCGAGACCGCTGCGACATGATGCAATGGCCCGCCGTTATGCCGAACTGCAGAGCACGTGAGCGTGTTAACATAGAAAAAAAAAAAAAAAAAAGACCCACCAAACACAGCACCAAAAAAGAAACAGATATGAGCTCCGATACGGGGAATCGAACCCCGAGCTCGACGGTGAGAGCGTCGGATGTTGACCATTACACCATATCGGATGTTTTCGGATGTTGAAGAAAGGTAATCCTTACCATAATTATGAAAGCACTCAATTACGTATTGATGACAGGAAGAAAAGAAACATAGTCCGTTTTGCAACAGTATTACACGAATTAATAGAAAACTGCACCAGGGTATTCCAAGTGACATAGAAAAATGAATACCAAAAAAAAAAAAAAAAGCAGGAACAAAAACGCCATGCAAAGACCTTTCATTCTGGTATCACTGGATCGACCTCGTCTGCCGCACACCAGTACTCCGGACATGTACGCACATTACTTCCCCCGCGGGGCCCAGTTGGCCACGTACCCGCGCTGGGCATAGCCCACCCGTGCCTGCAGCCCCAGCCCGACATTCTCGCCGCCGCCCCAGCCGCCGGTCCGCGCAGCATTGATCCCAAACAGCTCTTCGTCGTGCGCATGGTCGGGGACGCCCCATATGGACGACGCGTACTCCTGCAGCTGCTGCTGCCGCTGCCGACGCCGCAAGGGCGCGCGCGCCCAGCCCAGCGTGAACCCGGCCGTCACGGCCAGCCCGTCGCGAAACGGCTCGACGAGCTGGTCGCCCGTCTGCCACTCGGGCCCGCGCCCAAAGTAGCCAAACACGTTGCCGTCGGTCAGCAGGGCAGCCACACTCGCAATGCTGGTGATGGGCCGCGGCAGCACGTTGCTGGGCCCCGGGAACGTGATCCAGCTGAGCAGCGAGCAGACCAGCACGAGGCCCAGCAGCGTCTGGAGGACACGCGTCGTGGGCGCGTCCTGCAGCAGCCGGCGCGTGCCGTCCGAGACGCTCGTGAGGTGGCCCGTGAAGCCGATCTGCGTGGCGTTGCCTATGGCGGTGCCGTTGCTGTCCAGCGGGAAGACGGCGGCGGGGCGCGACGATGCCGTCGTGGGGCGCCGGTTGAAGGCGCTGACGACCTGGGCGCGCAGAATGCCGTGCTGTTTCAGGATGGCTTCGGCGACCGAGTTGTTTTGCGTGCCGGGCCCACTGGCGCTGGTGCTGTTGCCGTCGCCGAGTGTCGCGACAGGAAGGCCAAACCGGGACGAGACGAGCGTGCCAAAGAAGCTGTCGAGCAGGTTCGGCGATGTCGTCATCGTACTGCTGAGTAGACTGTAGTTGAGCGTTGTGCTGAGGGCAGCATCGGATGGTTGGACGGTGGCCTCCATGCGCCGGAGCGGCAAGTCCGGGTTGATGTCCAGTGTGGCGCCGTCAAAGGTGACTTGGACATCGAGCTGCTCCATGGTCTCGTTGCACGCAAGGGCCGAGATGGTTTGCACCGTCGTCTGGTTGGTGTTGGCGTTGCTGAGCTGGCCCCAGGCATACACCCAGTGGGTGATGAGCGAGCCGTTGGCGGCCTGGAATGGCCGGTATGCAGCAACACCAAAAATGGCATCCGAACGGATGGGTGCGGGAGACGCTGCGGCCGGTGACGGCGCAGGGACGCGTACGGACGTCGTAACATTCGAGCTATTGAATGTTGTGAGTGGCGGTGCTGTTCCGAGCACGAGTGTGCTGGACAACAGCTCGCTGCTGCCGAGGCTGGGTTCGCCGGGCAAGTTGATTCGCAATGGGTTCACAATGCCGCCAATGCGGTAGTTTGTGGTCAGGTTGACGACAATGTCCTTCTGCGCGTAATAGCTGCAGGACATGGCCGACCGCACAGCCGGTACCGTCGTGGTGGTCTCGAGATCGTCCGTCTCATTCACGCCGATCAACGGAACTATGGCCAGCGC